AAAAACTGTTAGAATTATTCTTGTTATACAGCATTAGTGTTTTTAGTAGTGCTGTGTCTTTGCTGCTTAGGTAGTATAATGCTAAGTCCATTGTTACCTGTTCTTATTTGATAGATTTTAATTAAATAGTTGTTTCTAATTAGTGTTTTTTATGTGGCCTATTATTGAAAATACAAGATAACCTAAAAAGGAGGGTGAAATTTGAAACCATTTGTTCTAAAATATTTTAAATCATCTTATTAATACTTGCATAGTTACCATAGTTGTGTAAAACACATAAGTCCTGTAAAGACCTTCTATTAAGTGATAAAGGTATTGCTGTTGTCCTCAAAAACAAGCATTTTGTGCTTTTTGATTATAATCTTCAACTCTTTTTTAAAATGTACAAATCATTAAATACATTTATGCCATTTGAAATAGCTTTTCATGTTTCTGTGGATATAAGACTGCTATGAAATAAATTTCCTTGAAAACTGTTTATTTTTCCTATATTCTAATTATATCTGTCTTTCATTGTGAGAAAAAAAATAGAGGCATTAGACAAATGAGGCAGAGGAAGTTTTTTGCTAAGTAATAGTTTTTCTCTAATCTCCAGTGTCTAACTTGTACTGCATTAATTCAATCATGTTTATATAGAAGATAATGCTTTTTTCCCTAATGTGTATGAAATATTCCAGTTATTCTGTCATGCAATTTAATAACCCTTTCACATTTCTTACACTGACCTTGGTTTCTGTTCACATTTCTAAAGACCGTTTTGTCTTAAAAATAATGTAATTGAAGAGAAATGCATAATCATTGGTGCATCAAATGTCTGTGAAACAATATTAAGTTTAGAAAATGCTGTCTAACTTTGCACTAGGTTGAATTTCAGTAAACACACTTCCTTACACTCTTACATCCTCAAAAAGAAATATTGCAGCAGCACTTACAAGGAAATTAAACTTGTTGTATGCTTCTGTTGAAGATAGCCAGAGGAAAAATGTGTCCTCTCTGTCATTTGGAGCCTCAATTGACTCAGCTTTGAGGTGTCAATTGATAGTGTGTCTGTCTGTATTAATATTCCAATCAGAAATCAGTATTACTCAGTACTGGTGTAGCATAGTGAAATATCCTCTGTGTGTGCATGCGTGGGTGTGTGGTTGTTTGCTCTACAGCCATGGATACTGTTCACTTGTTAACACTCTCTTTGGCAAATACTGACCTGACCCAATTGTAATTCTATGGTGCCAGGACACAATTCAGGGAGTGTCAGAGTGAGTAGGTAGGATGGACACTCCTTCAGTAGAGGGGAAGTATGTAACCCATGATGTACCAGTGTCTTCTCCCAAGTAGCTGGCAAAAGGACAAGAGAGAACAGAGAAGGGTTAGATTAAATATTAGGAAAAAATTCTTTGCTGAAACAATTATGAAGCACTGGAACAGGCATCTCAGGGAAGTGCTTGAGCTCTCATCCCTGGAGGTAATTAAACACACGTAGCTGTGGCACTTAGAAACATAGTGAAGTGTTGGACTTGGCTGTGCTGGGCTGATAGTTAGGCTTGGTGATCTTAAAGGTCTTTTCCAACCTTAACAATTCTGTGTTTCATTTTTTCTTGAGCTCTTAAAATCAAGGAGATTCTTGTCCCTTTTGATGTACAAAAAGAATCTTGAATTCTGCCTTCCAAATTATCCCTTCCATATACATGTTGTTTTTCCTAGCTCCTTCAGTGTTTGTGAAGTATGTGGTTTTGCTGTTTATAGCCAAATGGTCCCAGTGAAGAGACCACTGGGAGCCAACTGTGTCTTAATATTCTGCCATATAGTCTACCTCAGGCTCACCTCAGTTGCCTTCATTCGTTCTAATTGTGGCTTTCTGTGGGTCATTTTTAAAAAGTAATTTTTTGTTTGTTTGTTTGGGGGTTTTTTCCAAGTGAAAAAAAGGTCAATCTCTCTCACTTGATCCTGGTTCTTTTGTAATAAGTACCTAAAACCCTTACCTTCTGAAATTACACTTTTTGATGAAATACTCTTGCACTTTGCCTATGCATTTCTATTTAACTCGACTCCTGTTTGGTATCCCATAGCTTCAACCCTTAGTCCATGTTGTTAGTTAGCATCTCATCAAGAAGCACAGAAGTCATACCAAGTGACACTTTGTTAAGTACAGAGGTATGCATGTATAGAAAATCATATTTTGTACAGATTGGTGAGCAAACTCCTGACCAAACTGTCACAATACATGTGTTTTCCTATGAAAAGGTTGAAAAAAATGTCTCAGTTACAAGAGATCGTAAATAAATTATCTGGAGGAAAAGTCAATCTGCTGTAAAATTTTTCAGGTTTCGCAGTTGAAGCCTTTACATTGATCTGTGCTTAGAGGCCTGTCCTTGTTTTGTAGCAGATAATGCTATGTCAAAGCAATGTTTAGTTCTACATAGCAGCTGTTGTATTCATACTAAATTATGCCAGATTTAATCTTGAATATATTCAGCAAGAGCACCCAGTTGTGCTGACGAACCTAAAATCATTTCCAGTAATATTCTGTCACAAACCCTTTGGGAACATTGGCTCTCTGAGGTTGAATTCCCATATTATATCCAAACATCCCAGCAGTAGATTCAATTGGTATCCAACTGGAACTTTGCAGTAGCAGAGGTAGACAATATGAGACAATTTCTCAAGAGTATTACTTTCCCAATCATTTTAATTGCCCCTGACTGATTCATCAGTGCTTGTGTATTCATTTGTACTTGTTCAAAGCAAATGCAGTTTGATTTTACAATGCTCTCAAATCACTGTAATACTCATTTTACATGTCGAAAGAACAAGACAATAAAGTGGATAATCAGGTTTTCAGGGTTTTGGAAGGAGAACTGAAATGTTGCATGGAGAAGAAACAATAGAAGTCAAGGTTCACTTGTGCGTGCAATACTTCAAAGAGTATCCTGTAAATCCCAGGTCATGGCACAGAGAGGGCACCTTGATAATTGCAGTGATACTGTAATAAGGAGACGACATATTAATCAGGAGAACAGTGGGTGAGAACCTAGTTTAACTGAGAAGAGTAGACAGCTGTGGTTGCTGGAATAAAATCAGCTTTTCTGGAGTGCACTTCATTGCAGGAAACATGCTGGAGTGTTCTCAGGCACTCTTGACAGAAGCTCTACTCCTTCCCCTTGCTCGCTGCAGCAGGAGTGTAGTAAACTGTATGTGCCAAAATGGGATAGGGAAAACACTTCTCACCTTTCCCAGATCAACCCCAAGCAATTTAGGGTGCTTATTTAAAATGTAGCAAAGTTCAGTTTGTTTTTCTAGGAAAGTCTGAGTATTTTTCATGCTTTCCTTCTACGTCTGAACCCCTTTCTGAGTATTTTTTGGGTTGGCATGCCACCTTGACTGCTTGTGCAGTTCCAGTTTGTATAAATAATTATACAGAACTATGGTGTCCTCTCTTCTGATGTGTTTTGTAATTTTTCTAATCTGCCATGATAAATAATTAGTCGTTACATTACAGTATGCAGTCCTAGAGATAGTTTGGAATGTCAATAAGCAGCTTGCCCTGTCCCGTGATGCCCAGTCAGCAGTTCCCAACAACTCCAAGTAGTACATGTCTAGAACTTTAACCTACTGGAATATTCTTGTTTTGAAAGAAAAATCTGTTTTGCAGATAGTGATAGTAAGAATCAGGTTAGGATGAGAAGTAGAGCTCCACATCTCAATTCTATTTTCTAATTCCAGTCTTGCTCAGAGGACTGTACAAAGAGAAAGATAATTTACAGCAGCAATTAAGAGGCATAATTTCTTCTGTAATGTGAAAATTGAGGGAAATTCTTACCATAGACTGGCTTAAGTAACTTCAGGAAGCACAAACAATTCTTAATTTAACGTTTGTAATGTAGCTGCTTCTTTGCAGCTTTAACTCCTGGTGGATAGCTTTGTGTTTCATATCTGTAGCCAGAGCTAAGCAAGTGTTCTCTTCAAGGTGAATTAGTCACTGTGAACTTTCTGATCCATCTGGGAAGTACTTTCTCAGTGGATGTTCATTCACTGAGAGTGCATTGTGCAAGCACTGTTTGGGTTTCTAGGGCTGCATAGCTCTTTGTAGGTCACTGGTGATGCTCATGGGGCTTGCGGGCAGATAGTTTTCACTCCTCCAACATTCTCAACTACAGCTTGGTCCTGAATGCAGCAAATAAGAAGGGAACCAGAATCATTCTGCATGGCTAATGTGATCTCTCATGCTTGGCTGAGGGGGGAAATCTGACACTTTTCAAAGAACTTAAGTTTCATTTCCAACAGTTTGTCACATATGAAAGGAGGAGAAGAGTTTGAGAATATGCTTACAGTTAATTATATTTTGGTTTCAGGCTAGAAATGACAAAGCATTTTGATGTTACCTATTTTGAGAGGAATCAGATATCCAGAAACAGGAGCCTAGGTACAGTACACTGTAGCACCTTTGCACCTTCATGAAGTCTTCTGTATTCAGTCTACAGCTGTCTTATTAGAAAGAGTTCCAAAGCTGCAAGATGCTGGGATACCTAACTCAAAGCTGCAGAAAGATTCCACAGTTTACTTGGCAAATTCATGGCTTGACATGTTTTCATTGGAGTAGATGCCTAAAATGCCTCTTTCCAAGAATGGTGCAGGGTGTTTGAAGGAGAGACTAGGTGGGCATTCAGAGCTTTAATCCTCTAAATTTACTTCAGAGGACTGTTATCTTTAGTATATACTCTTTTTTTAACTAGATGAACTGACTGATGCTTTATCCTTCTTAGGAGAGGCATTTGTATTTCTGTTCAATAAGGTTGTAGGAGTTCTTCACTAGCTTCTTTAAGAAAGGTCATCTAGATGACCTAAGAACTTGTGAATTTCTTGGATTTCAGTAGAATGCATGGTATAACTCTTATCTTTAGATATAGTATTTAGACTGCTTGTGTTTCATAATATTAAGATGCATGTGATTATTTAACTCTCCATTATATCTGCATATCATTCTTTTGTTTTTTATTTATCAGGTTTCTTGTCTATACCTACATAACTACTGCAAGCTATCTAGTCTTACGAAGTTGAACTTCATTCTTCAAGTGTGATTTACTCAGTACAGCCCAAAATCATGATGAAAAAGATGAGCATACCTACAAGCAAAACTTCGCTGGTCCTCTTTCTGTGCCAAATTATTTCTGCACTGGATGTACCTCTTGACTGTAAGTACTAACCTGATAAATACGTGCAGAATAATGGAAGCATAATTAAATAATTTCTGTAGGAAGCTGAAGATAACTCCAACATGGAGCTAAAAATAGTGTGTTTGGTTACACTATTAAAGTCCTGATTAACAGGACCTTATGAATATTTACACTGACTTACTGAAGATTTTCAAAACCTGTGCATATAAAATGAGTTACATTGTTCAGCTGAGGAGGTGCAACGCAGGATTCTCGCAGAATCCTACTTACACTTCAGTGTGCTTTTGTTTGATCAAACTGAAGAAGGCCAGAAAAGCCCTGCTAAATGCTAATTATTTGTGAAATTAAGATCATGTTGATAATTTTTTAAAAATCCCAGGACAATTCCTAGTGGCTGTAAGGAATCACTTACCTACAGAGAAGAGGTTCCCACAAGCTGATATGACAGCTAGTAAGAAATTAAAATACCTAAAATTCAGACACTCAAAGCATCTTTCTTTTTTTTTTTTTTTTTTATGCAAAAGGGTAAGGCTCTTAGATGTCTTAAGTAGTGCCTGAAAACAGTTAAGAACTTTCACTTAAAAACATGTTAGAAATGTGCTGGGCAGGGAACTCCAGTATTAACACATGAGGTGGGGAAATCCCACAATCTGAAGTTCTTGTCTGATATAAGACTATGTTAGTGGGGAACCTTGAAGGTAGCACTCCATGCTGAAAACGAAGCAATGGTAGCTGCTGCATTTTATATTCTCAATAACTAATTTTATTAAATCACTCATGTTTCAGGTTGCTGTTTTCTTTCTAAGATGAACATGATCACATTTTCAGAATTCAGTGAACCATGTTGCACCTCTCAGTGATGATTCATTTGTTAAAATAATTTCCAGGGAAGAGAACATTAGGGCTGGGGTTTAATTGATGGATTAATACATCAGTAAATTTGCCTGTGATTCTAATTTGCATGGTTTTCTTTACCCCTGTGGTTTTGATACCTTCCTTCCTTCCGGAAATGCATGTCTTTCTTTAATAATCATTGACATACATTGCAAGTGCTTTGGTGGTTTTTTTTTTCCCCTTGCATTTTACAAGCCTGTCAAACCAATGACCTGTATTTCTGTAACAAAATCAATATATCTGAATCACATCCAACTTGTTGTGTTGTAAATGCCCTTAGAGGAATAAGCTGTGGATTAAGGAAGGCTTTGAAAATTTGATGAATAAATGAATGTGTTATTTTTGAAACTTAATTTTTCTCCTTAAACATCTTTGCAGGCTATAAATAGTCTTTTAAACCTATCTTGTAGTTTAGCAACTAATATAAATTCTGCACCTCTTTAATATTGTTGTCTTAAGAGCAAGATTTTGGGTTAAATTTACCAGAAATGCATCAATAGACAAAAATGAATAGCCCTTTTGGATGTATCATTTTAATTCTGTACTGAGAATTTAATTCCCTTTTACTTCATTCTTAATGAGTTTGTGAGGTCTGATAAAGTCACATCCTTGAATTTTTAGCCGGAAATTATATCTAGAATAATGGTATTGCTTTCATAAATAATGATGGGAATGGTCTGTGGGAGAGCACCACAAGGGAAGGACTTAGATTTTGTTGTGGGTCTTCCCTGAATATCCACCATAGAGACCTGGTGGTGAGAACATACTTGATTGGTTCAATATTTAGATTTCCTCCAGGTTAGAAATCCCTGTTGATAGCAAGTTCAGTAGTTCCTAGTCAGTGTCTCCTCAAAGCAGGCCAGGAATGACTGAAAGTGTAGGGGACTCAGGGACATTTGGCCTATTGGTAAAGAGACATAAATTTATGTTTATGCAAAACATTGGAATTAAGCAATAAAGATCTGGCAGTTCAGATGATTATTTTTGTTTAGTTATTTTTCAAACCAAAAAGAGTTGCAAGTCTGTTGAGTAGAATTAGATGCTTTTGTCTTTACAAGAGTAATTTTAGCCTGGAGCATTCTCTTTGTTCTTCCATGTGATCATATGGGTGGATTGATTTTGACTGCAGCATGAGCGTAGTACACTCCATTAATTGTAATTTGCTGCTGTCACCTCAGTATTATTGTTTTATGTCCTTGCAATGCCAAAATCACATAGCATGGTTGCCTTTAAAAAGTCAACACTTCAGGAAAGTTTCTCATGCCAAGAGCTTTAAGATAAATGTAGTAATATCTGACGCAGTGGAAATTGTCGTTGGAATTTCAGGCGTCGCTGCATGGGTTGCAGTGCTGAATGTTTTAAATGTTTTCTTTTTAATGGTGACCAATGTACTTGTCAGAGATACTTCTCTTCCCTCTCAAAATTGCTAATTTTCTCTTCACTAACACATGTTTCTCTTTAATCTCCATTTGTCCATTCAACTGCTGATTCTGATGTGGGAATAAAAGCAAAACTTCTAGAAGAATGTAAGTTACTCTTCACTAAAAATAGGCTGCGTGCTGCTGAAAATTAAAACAGATTGTGCTGCAAATTGAATTTGCAGTCCAAAAATGTGTGATTCTGACATCTTGTTGATAATTTGGTTTGCTATGTCTGGATGTTTTATGCATGCAGTGTTCAGGAAATACTAATGTACATAAAACAACATTCTGATATTCCAGATAAATTAATTGTGTGATTTTTGATGGTGTGCTATTTGAACATTAAAATCTTCACTCAATATCAGCTTGTGCAGTGTTTTATTACTACTTTCAGGAGTAAATATATTTGATAAAAGATTTATTGGAATATATGTACTTTTGTACTATTTTGCATATCTGATTTGACATATTTTTATATCCTCAGTGGGTATAGCTATTTAAGTAGACCTCATATTTTATGGGTTCTAACTTAGCTTTAGTTTTATGGTTAATTTAATCAGTTTTAAGTGCAGTCCCTAACACAGCAGTGGAGATTGCAGGTCTTTGATGTGCATCAGATGGAATATCCTGTAGGCTGGGCAGTGTTTGTGTCATATCCTTTTTCAGGGTGAATTTGCTTTTCCCAAGTAAGCATCTGATATATACTGACCCTGAGAAATGCCTCTGAGAGGGAAAAGGACTGCCTTCAAGTACTCCTAAAGAAATACACACAAAGGCATCATGTAAAAATGTTGCCTTCCTCTTTCAAAGCTTCTCCCCTGTGCAGTGAGGAGCAGAACCCAGTTCTCTGTGGCCTGCTCTGTTCTGCTTGGCTGCTGTGTTTTGTTATGGTTCCATGATCTGATTTCTTTTCATTGCTGTTTCTTGCAGGTAGAGTTTTACAGACAACTACCTCTGTCTGTGCAAAGGAGTACTTAATGTGTAATGGTATCCTTAAGCAAGACTTAAATAAAAATCCCAGTTGGTAGAATTTTAACTGTCTGGAGTGAGGCATGAGAACACAGCTAACTCTAATGATTGAAATATTTTGTTCCAGTGACTAGAAATTACCCCAAAGCCCAGGCAAATGGTATTGCTGGACAGCTGATTTACAGCACTTAGACAGGGATGTTCATGGGCATATTATTAAACAGGTTTATTTAGGTGATACTAAACTATAAACATATGAATAGTGTTGAGGAAGACACCTTTCTCACTATCTTAGTATCACAGTGTTTTTTAATGCAAAAATGGGCATAGATAATGGTAATAGGCTATAAATTACCATAGGTAGACACCAACTACTTTGTCAGGTGAACCAATTTTGTCCTGTACTACTTGTTTTATAGTACTTGAAAAATGACAAATGTTAAATGATTGCTTCTCCTGGGACAGTTCACAAGACTATATTTTTAATGGATTTCTTAAGGGGAATTGGTGCTTTACTTTTCCTACATGTTTACTTTATTTGGAAACTATTTTTGTCATTTTTAACAGCGTATTTTGCTTATAACACATTCTTTACTCCTGAAAAGTAGTTCTTAAAAGCATGCTTTGTAGATTAATGCAATATCTTAAGGAAAATAAATGTGTGGAAAGGTCTCTCTCACAGAGAATTCGAAAATATGCAAAATGTTTAGAAGCACAAAGCAATGTATATTTTTTATATTTTTTCCTTCTGTGTGGTAAAAAACCATTTTGTGGAGGTTTATGTCTTGCAACTCTCGATTTCAGATTTGTTGGACTTAGAATTTGAGTGTCCTTCCTGTTGAAAGCTGAGGTATAGAAATGATCTTTTCATTAAATGTTTTGGCCAAGATCTTCATCCACTGTAAATCAGGATAGCTCAGCTGGAAGTTAGTATAGCTACACTGATTTACAAGGGTAGAGAGCTTCAGCCTCCTGATACAAAGGATACTTTAATCCCACTCTTCTGTCAATGATTTTGTTCCTAACTGCAGTTCTTATTTCTTTGCTTACAAAAGTGTCATGGTAATACTTTGAAAATATTGTTGAAATCATCTCTCTTTGTTGTATTTCATAATGAAGTGTCACAACCTCCTACGATAACTCAGCAATCTCCAAAAGATTACATTGTTGACCCTCGAGAGAATATTGTAATACAGTGTGAAGCCAAAGGAAAGCCACCTCCTAGGTTAGTAGCTTTTTTTTTTTTTTTTTTTTTGCTTTTATTGGCCTAAGAGTATGGAAGAACTAGGAGAACATGGACTTTCTCAACCCACAGTGTGAATTGTGTGATATCAGTGTGATAACCGTGTTGGTGAGGGCACCTGGCATAAAGGTTTGTGGATGTGCTGCTACCTATAGCTAGAGCAGCAAAGACTGACTGTCACTCATCCCAAATTCAGGGGTTTGTTCCACTTTTTCCACCTCTCATTTGAATCTACGTTACACTTTATTGCATTCTTAATATTATTGGTAATGGAAACCCCACATTATGAAACTTCACCTGCAAAGTTGTAAGAAAGCGGTTCACTGTTAGTTCACAATGCATGGTAGTCCTCCCAAAAACGCTGCATTGGGGTGCAGCACTGCTGCAGGTCCAGTTCTTCTCTCCCCCAACACAAGGTGCAAATATCATGTCCAGTCCTGCTGCAGAAGGTCAACGCACAATTTGAGTCTGTTAGAATCTGAGCTTTTCTGGTGCCATTTACATTTATACTTTAGGAACATTCTAACCAGCACAAAATGTGTTTGTGCTTAAGATTCTGAAGCTGGAATGTAACATGTACAAAAACTGCTGTTCACAGGGTTTGAAGCTGGGAGTGCTCAGCACTTCATAGGTGTTGGTCAAGCTCTCTGTAACTATACTTCTGACCATAAATGGAGCATAAGTAAGAAAGTGGTGTTTATGGTTTAAGTTGTAGACTGTGAACCTCTGCTTCTTGACAATTTTTTATGAGTTCTATCAGTCTTCATTTTTAAAGACTGTTTTCAAGATATCTCTTGTTTTGAGTAGTATCGGTATAAATTTACTAGGTCAAATAAAGGCTCTCAGACTATATAATTTCTATTAGAGAATTATGTTTGCATTAGAATAGTGAAAAGGACTCAGACTCACCGCAGTCTTTAATTCACTTGCATAACTTCAAAATCACCAAACCAATTAAAATAAATGGTCTCCTGCTGGGGCCTGAGATGACACATTTCAGCCCTTAGCAAGTTTTGAAAGACAGGTTTATAAACCCTTTCAACAATAGGTTTTATAATGGAAATGCTAATGCAGCTTTAGCAATATCAGTTCTTGCAGATGTTACTGCATCATTTTGAGTAGAAAGGAAATCAGTTATTTTCCATGTATGATTAACCTCAGAAATTTTTAATGTATTTTTAAAAAAAAAAAATTAACTTTGAAATAGCTCTTGTAAATATGTTCAGCCAAATCTATTATCTTAAAATATTGCCAGATTTCTTATAGTAAAATTTCTGTATTGCTTTATTAGTTAATTTAGTTTGGGAACTAGTCTTACTTATCTGCTAATGAAAAAATAATATGTATTTTTGTTAATGGATTTTTCTTCTTTTTCTTCATACAGTCTACAAAAAGGAGCTAAGAATAAAATTTTCTTTTTGTTTTTATTGTTTTAGCTTCTCCTGGACACGGAATGGAACTCATTTTGATATAGATAAAGATGCACAGGTAACAATGAAACCAAATTCAGGGACTCTTGTCATAAATATTATGAATGGTGGGAAAGCAGAAGCATATGAGGGAGTTTACCAATGTACAGCAAGGAATGAACGAGGAGCAGCCATTTCCAACAATATCGTTATAAGGCCTTCTAGTAAGTAAAGCTCTTAATGTTCATAAAGTGTGAAACACTTTGGTTTTCTTACTTGCTTATGAACTTTTTGCCTTTTTGTTTTCCTGTCTTAAAATTTCAGTCATCCAAATGACCATGCTAGAAGTTATTGCCTATTTTCTAATACTTAGGTATACTACTGTATTACAGGTTCTCTCAAATATGTTTTTTTACAAAAATTTAATTTTAATTTTTGAAATTTTATTTTTATTTTTATTTTTTTCTTGATACATCTGGCTAACCTTATGATGTTTAAAACTGAGTTGTATGTATGACACAAGCTGCTTGAATAAAATATTGTAAGGCTTTAAGGATAATTTGTTGACATGGGTGACATAATTGATGACCACAATTTTTTTTCTGTTTATGAAGTCTGTACTCCATAGTTTTTGTAATAGCTTTAAAACATAACAGATCTGAACTAAAAGGAATCTAAAATTTTTTGATTAATGGTAGATTGTTTCTACAGCTTTTTACAAGCTTTATCTCAGTTTAATTTTCAAGCTTCTCAGCTTAGTATGTGCTGTTCTCACATCTTAGTTAAAGAGAGTGTGTATAATACTGCTTCAGAAATGTCTACCTCTTTTGCTATTTTAGTACATCACCTTTCTTTTCATTATAGTAAAAAATTTGCAAGATACTGTTATAAAACCTTTAGTGAGCAGACAAAATAATTTGAATCAGTTGATTATACTTTCAATAAATCATTGCTGTACTCTTCTTCCAAGAAAACATAAAGAACAAAAATAACAACTTTAGCAAACATGAAAGGATTTAACATTCTGATGGATGTAGTTCTTTCATTTCTCTGGAGTACTTTGTGCATTTTCCCTTTAAATTTTTGAGTTTTTGCCAATGCAAAGTTTGTGTGTATGTCAAAATCACTTTCTGTAGGATCGCCTTTGTGGACAAAAGAAAAGCTGGAACCAAATCATGTTCGCGAAGGTGATTCACTAGTACTGCACTGCAGACCTCCTGTTGGCTTGCCACCACCTATCATATTTTGGATGGATAATGGTGAGTTTGTTTCTTAAGCAATTGACTTTTTGCGGTTTTTCTATGTAGTATGTCGTTGCTTACCAAAACCACAGATGGTGAAGTTTCCCTCTGAGTTAAAAATCCAGTGAATTTCCATTTCTGTAGAACAGAGGAAACAAGCAGCCATACAGCCCAAAAGCATGAAGCCAAAAGCAGCTGGAGATCTTAACGTAAGTTGTAGATTAACCCACTGGGGAAGAATGGGTAGACAAGGGATCTCATCAGGAAGCTTAGAAATGTCTGTACATGTACCAAGGCACAAACAAGTGTAATTGAATGAATATGGAGTCTGCAGATCATAATAATAAAGTGTGTCAATTATATTTAGCATAAATGTGTTCTTTCTTTCCCTTAGCTTTCCAAAGGCTGCCTCAAAGTGAAAGAGTTTCCCAAGGTCTAAATGGAGATCTTTATTTTTCTAATGTACAACCAGAAGACACCCGGGAGGACTATATCTGCTACGCAAGATTTAATCACACGCAAACTATACAGCAGAAACAACCCATATCTGTGAAGGTCTTTTCAAGTAGGTATTGCATCACCAAATCACATACTTACACAGTATTTATCCAGAGTTCTCAAGTTACATGCTAAAGTTAAGTAGTGTTACGCTAGGGAATTTTGTCATTTCAATTTTGAATAAGAAATTACATTACTGTATAGACTTGAAGCATAATTTCCAGTTTTCTTGATATATAATTGATTTTAAAAGCTATGATTTTTCACTTTATAAGGCTTTGTATTTTGAAAAAATGTTTAAGAATTTATATATACAGTGTAAAAAATAAAGTTTTCAAATGTTTTTCCAGTGCAAGAATATGAAGTTATTATAATTATTGTAACTATTGAAGCAAATTAATCAATCACTTGATTAACTCACTGCGGCCATGTCATCACCTTTTGATTCCCAGAACTTTTATTTTTCCCTTTTTTATGCTTTCTTCATGATATTCTGTTTATTTCAGTGGATTCATTGAATGACACTATAGCTGCTAATTTGAGTGACACTGATATTTATGGTGGTGAGTTACACTGGTCCCCACTGATACTCCTTGTTTTATAGTAGCATTTAGTTAACTAACTTCACCTCCATGGCTACTTAATCTTTTGCTCCTTTTTCAGTTTCTAATAAAGGTATCAATTAGTGCTGGTGATAATACATATTTTGCAAAGGGACTGCACAGTGTGATGCTTTGAAATATTTAATTTTTCAATACTCTTGTAACATACAGCTCATAGAAAATATAAACACTTCTAATAAGATCACTTTCACACTGGTGCAGATTTTAAAAACTACTTCTATACTGTGTTCATTTTTAATATTTTTCTTCCAATTTACCTAGTAGTTTGATTATGTTCATTATCACTAGGACTATTCAATGTCATGTGCTGCATAATAAATAACAACAATTAAGCACCTAACAGATCCACTTTACATTTAATAACTTACTGAATGTACCCATAAATTCCTAGCGGTAGGATAAGTTTTGTTTGTTTGGTGTTTAAGCTGGTCTTTCCATTAATCTCTGTTGAATGGTCTTTTGTATGTTCTGAATTAAATCCTCCTGAACAGATGTATGTGTGTTTAGCAAGGCTGACTTTGGAGCACCACTGATTCTAGACTCTCCACTGGATATTGAGTGACATAGAAAGTACTTGATATTTATTCAATTTTTTTTTTGTCTTTTTCTTTGTGAAATGGGTCTTTGTGCATATTTGACCATAACTTATATTAATCTAAAATAAAACATGGGCACAGAATATTTTACTTCTCTACATAAAAATTACATGTTATTCAGGAGGGACAAACAAGAAATAAGTACCTGAACATAAAACAATGTATTAGCTACAATTAGTGAGGAAAGCACTGTTGGGTTGGCTCTCAACTCAGAACCACCATGGGTAATTGTCCTGAACACTCACAGTCTGGCCAAGTGAGTCTGCAGCCCTTGCCAGTGCCAGCTCTGGGTAGGTGAGTTGTTGCTGTGACTGTTGGCTGTGTTCTTGACTCTGGACGTCTCTGTTCTCCCACAACTTTGAGATGATTGTGTACGGGTTATTAAGGAATTCACAGCACATACTGGATTAAGATGAAGTGTTGTATTTATGCTAATGTATCAGTAAATCCTGTACTCTAATGAACTTTGATTTTATTATGTTTCTAATCCCATTTTTAAAAAAACAAAATGATTCACTGTAATGATTTGGACTCTTACAGCACTTCAAAGCCATTTAATTCTATATGTTAATATTGCTGCAAGAGAACATTAGACTATTCACAGAAAACACTCTATAATTACAGAAAACTCTTATTCTGAATTCCATGAAGGCATAGGAAATACCATATTCTTCAAAAGCCAACAGAGTATATCAGAAATGAGTCTTATATTTATAGCTGTCGGTTTACTGTGCTTATTGCTTACACGTTAATCAAGGGTTCTGTATTGCAAGACTGGGGTAAAGCTTGAATTAAAGTTAAATTCATAGTAAGAGGAAAATCCCAGGATTAATTTCTGATACAATGTCTCACATTGTCTAGAAAATATTAAAACACATTCCAAAGAACCTTTCACTCACTTGGTTTATATTTCTGATTAAAAATAACTTTGCTGTATTTTTATTTTGATGGAAGGCCAGAAATTTTCAGTAACACTCAGTACCTCACACCAGTGGCCTTACTCCCCATTATAGTTCTGTTGAACAAAACAGCAGCTACTTAGGATTAAGACTGCACAGTTGCCTATGTAAAAGCTTTGTATCAATTGTTCCTGTCTTTTAATAACAACATTTCTCTTCTATGTGTTCAAAATTGTGGCATTTAACAGATATGTTACGTATGTCAAAAAACTAATGTGTTCAGCTTTGTAGTTGTGCTGCACAATGACTTTTAATCAAATGGCCAATGTGGAGCAAAATCTCTGTTCAAAATGTGAAAGTGGATGTATGCACTTGATTGGTATCAGAATAAAATTTAGAAATTAATTGTTTTACTACCTCTTGTTCCAGCAAAGCCAGTTACAGAAAGGCAGCCAGTTCTTCTAACACCAACAGGTAGCACAAGTACCAAAGTGGAACTCAGAGGAAATGTGCTTTTGTTGGAGTGCATCGCAGCAGGATTGTGAGTCACTTTTGAGACTTTTTTCCCTAAATAGAAACAGAGGGAAACATTTCAGAGATGCTTAAAAACATGAATGCTGTATAAACCATATGTGTTTCAAAGAAGCAGAAGTGTAAAATGGAAAGAGCTTTTTTAAGGAACTCCACCATTTACTTGGGCATCTGCAGACTTTGAAACTGGCTATGAATGTGTATGGCCTCTGCCTTCTCGTATCCCCAAACCCTATGCACAGGATATGTGTTGTGCCATTGTTTTTAAAGGATACAGGCAAGAAATGCTATAGACTAATCTCAGGCATATATCCACAGATTTGCAGTCAGGAATAAAGCTTTCTTAAGTTTACAGTCATTAGGTTCTCAAATTATATAAAAATAGATAAGAATTTGCTGTTCTAATCCAAGAAAACTGCTTATATGTGATAATAATTACTTAGTAGTGCTAGGTGGGAATTGTTAGAACAAATCTTCAGGTCCTTACATCTAATTTCTCATTGTAATTGAGCTTAATTGGTACTTGTTTCTTCAATGCAATGCAAGGTTGCTTCTACTGGTTATTGTGCAAAAAGAAAACTACTGAGAGCAATTTAACTTCATGAGTTAGGTTGACCTTTAAATAATTTTCATTCTCAGGAAGAAATCTGAGAATAGATTGGTTATAGAATAGAAGCAGAAAACCTTTAGTACCTATTTCAAGAACTGTAAATATGTTTGCAGTGCACAAAGGCAGAGTGCTCTCCGGTAGCCATGAGGAATGCCAGTAATTGCAAATCTTGCACCACAGTTCATGCACGTGTTCACTTGCACGAGCTCCGCAGGGCATGCTCAGGCACAGCTTGATCTGAGCATCAGTGCAGTATTTCTGTCTCAGCTGTGGCCTGCTCAGGTGCCTGCCCCAGCAGCACCAGCAAAACCACCCCTGTGAGTGCAATCAGCACCAGCCCAGGTAATCTTCATCTGCCATATAGTTATATGCCTTTCGACAACCCTGCAATATTTGGTGATCCAAATTCCAGTAAAACAGCTGGATAAAACCTGTGGAAAAAAAAAAATAGACATATATTATATGGCTTTGTCTTTAGCTGTCATGTAATTAAAAACCAAATAATCAGTGAGGGAATACTTGTCTACAAAGGACCAGATTCAGATTTTATTTGAAATAACTACTCTTAATCACTGACACTATAATTAAAAGTCAGCTTTGCTAGGTGTCTGTGTTATAAAATATGTGATATTAGACTGCTAAGGGAACGTTTGCTTAGAGTCATTACCATTTGAGAGAGGACATTGTATTCAGCAAGCAACAAATTGCAATTTCTTGTCATTTTCAAAGTATATCTCCATACACAATTGTGTTCAAACACAATTGTGTTTTAACAACTTTCAACTTCAGTGGAGCAACATGGGGCATAGCCAAGATTTAGACTCAGTGCAGTGACAAGTAGCTATACTTGGCTCAGCATTGACATTTTTTTCCTGATTTCTCACAATAAATGTTTCTATCTCCTTGCAGCTCTTTTGTGAAGTTTATGATGTTCATGAAGCATTAGGATATTGCTCACACAAAGGACAATTATAAACTTGTCATTTTATGGAAGCTACCTTTAAAAGCACCATAAGCATCAATTTGATAGTAGAAGCTTGTCTTCATTTATTAAACATCAGGTTTTTTAGGTTAATCAGCAGACAAATGTATTCTGTAATTATTAATCCTATGAACAGATGGCCATTGACAATGTTGGTGAGACTTGTCATTTCCTAGAAACAAATGCTGGCAGATTTTTCATATTTGTTGGATGTGGCCCAGAATCTGGGTAGAGGCTCTTAAAATAATTATTTATAAAACATATATTAAAAATATTAACGTACTGAACTCTTACCTTCCTTTTCTTCAATCCTTAAATTTGATCTGTGCTTTTACTTCTCCAGACCCACACCAGTAATCCGCTGGATCAAGGAGGGTGGGGAACTGCCAGCCAACAGAACATTTTTTGAAAACTTTAAGAAAACTCTCAAGATTATAGATGTTTCAGAAGCTGACTCTGGGAACTACAAATGTATAGCAAGAAATACTTTAGGTTCAGTTCATCATGTCATTTCAGTAACTGTGAAAGGTAATATTAAAATTATCCTTAATGTAATGTTGTCAAGGGTCCAGAATGCAGGATGGAAGCAGGCTTTCTAGGATGAAGTACAGCTAAAAAGATGAATGATAATGGTTAAAAATCACCCTGAGGAAACATTCAACTGTCTGAATTCTAACACTGGAAGGGCTTTACTATCTATAATATCTTTTCATCTTTTGATGTTACTTTGGAAAGCATCAGGCTAAACTGGTTTTTACTGTAACAGTAGTAAGGTAATGCCTTAGTTTGCACAAGTTCTACATTTATTTTAGATCCTTTGATTATCTGTCATTAGACTACTTCTTTCACTTCTCTGTCTTCCTCCTTATCTCTCTTCATAATTTCATCCTCATTTTCTCCATTTTTCTTCATTCATACAGCCCAGATTATTTCTTTCTTCTATTTTACTATTGTCTTACAGTCTTATGTTTTTCTTCCTTTTTCTCTTTTACGGATATTTCTGTTCCTATTTTCTTCATGTTTTTTACCCAAGATGATGCCTTATAGTTCTAAAAACATTTACAACATGTTTGTCTAAATAGGAATTGTAAGTATGCTGTGAATACCATGAAACAAAAAACTGTAATGACAGTTAATTAGTCATTGAAATAATCAGCTGTATTGCTTACTTTGCATGCTAAATAGTCACTTATTTTGTTGTAGATCAGCATCTTTTTATGATCACATTTAACTTCCTTTCTAAGAACAGAAGTTTAATTTTTTGTTTGCATCTGTCCATCAATCCAAAATCTGAAGATTAATTGCAAGATGTGATAATATATGCTGTTTGTGGTTATTTATTGTAGAAAAGGATGGAGAAACGTGAATATCTTCTAGTAAGGACAGTGTTTCACCCATTTTGATCTCTGTATTTTAATCTGTCTCAGGTAAACATCTGGCCCCACTGCAATCAGCCATTGAATTGAGTGAGACCAAGGATTTTGCCATTTTAAAATTTCACTCTTGATATGGAATCTTTTTTTTTGTAATCAAACCTAAATTAATTCCTAACAGTCTAACTACTAAGAGCATGGGTATCTCTGAAATTAATCAGAAGACCACTGTAATGTCTGCAAATGCCATACACAGATAAATTTTGCTTTCTTTAGGAAAGGCAAATTAGATTCAAAGCAGGAAACCCTAAATAAAACAAAGATCCTCTTATTGTTTATTTCAGAATTTTAATGCAGTGGGTGACCAGAGGGTCAATTTGGCCAATGTATGATCTATCACTTAATTATGTCTCTCACACACACATATATATCTATATTTATATATATATACACACACACATATATATGTACATATACAGTAACAGTATAGCTGTAAGTCTGTATCTACACATAGCTTGTTTGAATTATCTTCTGATTACCATGCCTGTGCCTTATGGTTTTCTGTACATAATTTTGGAAAACAATTGCCTTCTTTCTTTTCTTAAACCCAGCTGCTCCATACTGGATAACAGCACCCAGAAACTTGGTTTTGTCTCCTGGAGAAGATGGAACATTGATCTGCAGAGCTAATGGCAACCCAAAGCCTAGTATAAGCTGGTTAGCAAATGGTGTTCCCATAGCAAGTAAGATTCTTAATTACCTTACAGGAGCATGAGTAAGAAAATATGAGGAGTCTCAGGATGCTTTTTGTCAAATAGATGTGAAGAGCCTGTATTTGTGTAGTTTTTGCCTGACAGGTAATGCTAAATCATAAAAGATATGATAAAATACTGTGGTTCGTAAAAGCTGAACAACAAAATGTGCCTCTAACGTGTTTGAGAGAACTAAAATGTGTAATCATTCTTCTGGTTCTTCTGTCTGGCATTCTGCCGGTAGCATCTTTGTGGATATTGGATGGTTCCTCTCACAGGGCCATTGCTGGGATGTCATTGTTAACCCTGTGTTTCTGTGGCAGACATGTCTGCTAGGTCTCTTCTTTGCTTCCCCACTGCAACTCTAATGTTGCCAAGAATCTTAAATGTGACATAAAAAGTGAAGTCCCCACATGTGTGGATATACAGAGCACTTGTAGGATTTGCAGGATTTGCAGTACACTGCACGATATGCAGCTTAGTGTATGTTTGAGCCTTCCAGGCTTCAGCTCTAAGAAGCTGCTGCAGCAAAACTGTCTGAATGTGTCAGCAGCTACCTGGCAAACAGTTTGTGCCAAGTAGGTGTCAAGGAAAAGGAACCCCTAAGGCAGTGGAAGAGCTGTTTCTGTGTGCATGGGTAAGAAAAGCAGCCCTGAACTGGTGACTGAGCCACGTAATTGCTGCAGTGCTAGGACTGGCAATGCTGTATGACAGACACAAGGTAGCTGCTGTACATAGTACAACTTGCCTTGGAAAGAGCTTGCTGGAGGACACTGCAGTGTGGTGTCAGCTGGGTTTGCACTGAGCATATCCTGTACTGTAAAGTCACACTTGGTTCTTCTACCTTTATCCTTCCCCTTTCTCAAAACAATAATAAAAGGCCAGACAGTCTCACCTGTTGGCTCGTGGTAATTTACTCTAAAATACTCATCTGTTTAAAGTATGACAGTGTCCCTTCTGTCACTTTTAGAAGTTTAGGAGTTGTTTAAGTCTGTTGGCAAAATATAATTCACCCAGTGTGGGACATGGAGAAGGATTGTCTATGGCCAGAATCTAGGTAATAGCAAGAAGTAAACAAGAGCCCTCATTAGATATATTTGAACTATTTGGTATACAAAAGAGAATAAACTTATTTGTAGGGGAAAAAAAGGGCAATGTATTGAAACAAATAGAAATATTTAGCAAACAGCCTGTTTCAGGAATTTTAATTAAATGGAAGGTGACATCTACAACTTGAAATTTAAAATGAGAAGTTTCCATTGGTAAATAAGTTGTGTAAACTGACATTAATCACCTCATCAAACAATGGTAAGACAGGAAAACAGCAAAATATCAATGTAATTTTGTACAGTATATATTTATAAGTAAATATATCATAATGCATATGTTATCATCAAAGTTTGGTACCTGTCCTTCACTTTTCATTCTGGGTTTTTGGTCGTCTCCTCTTCCTTTGTTGTTTTCTGTATACTCACCACTCACTTTTTGTTTATTTGTTTGGAGGGGATTTTTACCCTGCAGTTCTTGTAGTTTAACTATTATTTCAGGCCTTCTGACTATTAAAACCTTCATCAAGCTATGAGAGTCAGCTTTGCCTTGCTCTTCTTCCTTATCAAAGCTGTAGGAACAAGCTGTTCAAATGACACGCAAGTACATTTTCCAGAAAAGCAGTGATGTGTTCTGCTTTCTTTCACAGTGACAGTAAAACATTAAGAAACAGAGTTTCCAGAAGCAGCTGCAGGATGCCACCAAATTTCCTAAATACAAGGCAGCATATATTGGACTGGCCTTGAGGAATTAGTACACAAAGTCTTGTTGAGGGTATTCAGTAAAAATTAAAAGACTTTAATTAAATTACCCATTCAAACTCAGTATGGAAGAAAAAATAAAAGAACACAGGAAATAAGTAAGTGGGTAGCTCAGCCTTGTATTAAAGGTCACTTTTACTGCTGAGAAAAGCTGAAGTCTTATCCACATTAAATATTTAAGTGCAAGTTGATTGGATGCTCTAGTACACTGCATCTGTCAGGGCATCTATGAGAGGCATCATGATCACAGAAAGTGCTGTTCTTAAGATTTTTGTGATTTTTTTATTATTCTGGGTTATCAAAAGCTGTTCTGGAAATTACCAAGTACAGTGTGCCTTTTTGTTCACTTGTTACTAAATTATAGAATTGAGCCCCTTATCTTCCAACTGAATGATTAGGAAATCACTGTAAAAGGAAACTAAAGCAGCTGTTTCTGCTTCAGGGCAGTGCTGAGAGAGCTACACCCATGGCAGGATTTCAAAGAAAAAGAGCTAAATTTGAATTTCAAAGCCCTGCTGTCATCATATATCCCACAATGTGCCTCTTGTGGCCTAGTAATCTGTTTGCAATACTTTAATTTTCTGTTGGAAAGCACAACTGGGAGATACTTAATTCTTCCGGTTTTGTTTTTCCATAATAGAGTCAGACAAGGAAGAGGGAATCTTGAAGAAAGAACCATTCGTCCGTATCTCAGTCAAAGGCTGAGGTTTAAATATCTATAGGGAAAAGGGGGAAAAAATAGATAAAAATGTAATGTGTGTGTGTTAGCAACTATAAAATAAACTTGCAATGGTGTGAATTTTATTCAATATTCCAGTAATCTCAGTTAAAAATAAATTTTTAAGTAAGACTTTAGGTTTCCCTGAAATATTTTAATTAGTTTTCTTCAACAGTCATGCTGAAAACACCAGAATTTCTAAAAAAAAGGCTGCTTTAGACATGTTGGAATGATAAGAACCTAACCTCCTAATGTTTTCTCAGAGGAGTATGTTGAACTTACATGCCCAGTCCCGCTAAGGTCAATTAGAATTACTTTGGCAAGTAGCAATTGAAAGTTCGGGCCGTGACTCTGTGTTGCCTTGTGCTTCAATTAACACTCAAGATCTGCATTATTTTTATCACTGCGTAATCATTGTGTCTTACTGCTTAGATATTCAGCATGGTTTTACAAAAGGGAAGCCATGCATAAAGTGTCTCAACTTTTAAGAAAGTAACAATGCAGATTAATTGGGAAGGGGAAACGCTTTCATAATTGGACTTCAGAAAGGCATTGCAAATACTGTACAAAAGACTGATTTTTTTGGTCCAGTGGTTTATAGTTCATGGTGAGCTATTAAATATTAAATACAGACACTTAGATTTATACAAAGTAGCTCAAAGGTGCTGTTTATCTTCTTTCAACATATTCTTTTCTTCTTATATTACATTCCACATTGAATCTCTAGGTTTGAGTTAGTCCCTGTTAGTACTTACACTGAATTTAAGGGAGAAACATTAGCCCTTACATTTCTTTCATGAAAGGCCTTGATACTCTATGGCTGAGAGATTCACCATCCATCATTTTCTCTGAGAGTACACACCACAAGCTGTTCACTGCAGCCGTGGGAGGGAGGGGAGAAATTTGCTGACCCTAATGCCCCCCAGTATTTCAGTCTTGGAAAGAAGACTGCATGGGAAGATGTTTATCCACTGCTTCTCTGTCATTGTGTTGGAACTTTGCAACTGGCCTAGGAACTTCAGCAGATTATCAGTTGTTTTTCAATTCTGCGCAAAATAGTCAAGGATGGTTATCGTTAGTGCAGGTAATGCTGTGCCTTTGGAGACAACAGAACTGTCAGAAACTCAGGAGGAAAAGCATTTCAGTGATCACAGGAAAATAATATGCTGAGGAGCAAGTGAGAGTGGTAAGAAAAGGAAAATTACAGTCCTTTACCTTTTCAGTTATCCATGGGGTTTTTATCCAGATTTTTTCCCCTTCCAGTTTTAACTACTTCTGTTCAGAGAGCATGTAATTCTGTCTTTTTTCAAGGAAAAAAGTAATAATGGTGCCATAGTGGTTATTTAAGCATACTAGAAAAAGGAAATTGCTTTGGCTGTCAGAAGTTTATGAAACATTCAAATGAACAGAAGTTACAGTGCTGATCTCTAACTACAACAAGAAGTATCTGATGGAGGCCCTACCTTCTCTGTTTAGGAATATGCTGAACATAGCTAGAGTCATGAAGCTGTATCATTGTACAATGTGATGAAAAAATTAGATGAAACTAGGTCTTTGTTCAGAAAGGACCAAAACACATTTATAAGCTGAGATTCTATGTTATTGGGAGCAAATGTTGGCTGTTAGATGGCACATGTTCACCTGTCTTTCTACCACAGCCGAACTCCTATAGCAAATCCTCGTAATTCATTATCCTGCTTGTAGAAGCCCATTTTAAGTATTATGTAGGTTTTTGCTATTTTGCCTATCAGTGCCAAATTCAGAAATTTCTAATATGTCAAAAGCATTTTCTCTTTCTCATGCTGCTATTGTGTAATGTGACCAGAATATTCAGACACACAAGCAAGCAGTGCTTGAGTGGTCCTGCCATCACTCCTTTTCCCCAGAAAAATATTTAAAAAAAAAAATTTAAATGGTAGACGGGTATATAGAAAGGGCTGAAGTACGGCATGCTATTTTTCTTTAGGTTTTACTAGCAGGTTTGACCTTCAGGAACCCCAGGTCCCAAAGACCAGGGGAAAAGACTAGAATGAGATGTACCCTTGGTGGAAAAGGATTAGCTCAGGAGCAAACTGAACATACCTAAGTGTGTGGCCCCTGGTGGGATGCAGCCACCAGTGCTCACTGAGCTGGCATATGTCATTGCAAGAACCGTCTCCATAATGTTTGCTTGATCATGGTAACTGGGAGAAGTGCCTAAAGAAGGAGAGAAAGCAAATGTTACTCCTGTCTTCAATGAGCCAGAAGGAGAAACCAGGGAACTACAGTCAGTTTTATCCCTGTGAAGGTGATGGAGCAGCTAATTCTGCAAACCATTTCAAGGCACATTAAGGACAAGAAAGCTTTCAAGAGTAGTTTTCATGGCTTCACCAAGGGGTGACAACTTCATATGTTTCTATGATGAAATGATTGGCCAGATAGGTGAGGGCAAGGGTAGTGGATAATGCCTGCCTGGACCACAGTGAGGCCTTCAACTCTGTCTCCCATTGGTTCCTCATGGACAAGAGAGAGGTGGATAGAAAAATGGCTGAATGGCCAAACTCAGAGAAGGTAATCAGTGGAACAAGGTCCTGCACCTGGGGAGGAACAGCCTTAGTTAGTGCCAGTACATGCTGGGGGCCATCCAGATGGATAGTGCCTTAGCAGAACAGGGCTTGAGCATCCTGGTGGATGCCAAGTTGACCATGAGCCAGCAATGTGCCCTTGTGGCAAAGAGGCTAACATTATCCTGGGCTATATGAGACAAAAGTGCCAGCAGGTAGAGGAAAGTGATCCTTCTCCCATCTGGACACAGTTTTGGATAACTGGATCCAAGTGGCCCTGCTTGAGCAGGGGGTTGGACCAGATGACCTCCAAAAGTCCCTTCCAAGCTCAATGTTTCTGTGTCTGCGAGTGCAGCAGTGGGTGCTTCAGACCATTAAAGAAGCTGTATTCAACAGACAGTTAAATAGATTTCTGTCTTAACAGGGAGCTTTTGAATCAATGCCCTTCAGCATCCAATTGGCTAGACTGATTAACAGAAAGCACCAGCTAACCTGACACTTCTGCCTTCTTTTCTCTTGGGACCCCAGCTTGAAGCCCTTTTCAGAGAACAAGCACCTCCTTTCCTTCAGATAGCTGAAAGGGGATATCTCCTTTTTTCCTTCACTACAGCAGTGAGAAGGGAGGATGCTGCCCCTCATTCTATAGTGATTTAGTGGTTAGATCATTCTTTTACAATGCAACTCCTTCAGTCATAGAAGATTGAACTAATGGCTTCCCTCTCCTAGGAGGGGCACTACCATCATCCTGTAAGGGATTAGGTGTTGGAGTGTGTGTGATGGGGGCAGTCTGTGCGCCCATTAATGACCCAAGGGGATGCAGAAAGTGCTGCAGGATTTAGAAGGCATGAGTGGAGGAAAGAGCAGAGCCCAGGGCTGGAAGCAGCCATGCTTGGATGGCTGTGGGCTGTTCTCCTTCCTCGTGGGAGAGCAGTTGTGCCTGTCTTCTGTTTAACTGTGATTTGTATGCAGAAACAGAGCGCTTCCCGCAGCTGACTGGCCTGCCTGCTGGGCTGCTCACCTGCTCCGGCTATTTTCAGCCCATGAATCTTTTAATGAAAATGGCATTTACGCAGAAAAGGAGGCAATGTGAAACATGGAACACAATAGGAAGTAAAGCAAAAGAGAGAAAAATATGTGCCAGCAATCCATAAGTCCAGAGAATAAGCACTTAAAATCTCAGTAGTACCTTTTTCTTCCTTCCCGAAATTTTTGAATTTGTGATGTTGATTTGAACTCAGAGTGATGGAAGATGAGAAAAAATGGAAATGGAAATCTGTTCTTGAGGCAACGGTTTGGAAATTGAGGTATTTACATGAAAAATGGCCTTAGATTTCATCCAAGCAGAAGCACAGAACTGTGGTCCTCTTTATCTGGTTTCTTTTGTAGAGAGTTCATTAATACATGCTTTAAGTAAATGCAGGAGAAATGTCTCCATTTTCTTTACAGATGAGAACTAAGGTATTGTGTGAATCAAAAGATTCATTTCTGTCACATAAAATTGATGTTAATTTACTTGATTGATCTCTTTTTATCAATTCAAATAAGAATTTCCTTGTATGAGAATGTGTTCCACAAATATACTTTTTCAAGCTTCAGTAAAGGTGGCAATTTTGATGATGCATTTATTTCTGTATAAATACATCTATTTTTCATATTAGTATATCAGTAATTTTACCATTAATTTTCACTATTAATAATACTTGTGTTTTTTAATACAATAATAATATATCTGGTCTCATTTAGTATGTTCATAACATATTGAACTATAGATTGTGCATTTTTATGCAGTGTGGTGTTACAAGCTAAGATTTTTCTTCATTATACTTCTTTAATGCCATTCAGTTGTATCAGAACTGACAGCTATTATTCTTCTTCAGTATTTTCTTAGAATTTTATTTTCAGTTATGTCTTGGATGCTTCTGTGATGCAGAAGCTGTTTGACAGCTCAGGCCACTCCAGAGCAGTTGAGGAAATGGCACTGTATAATTCTTACATAAGAGAAAGAGTGCCACCTACCGAAGTACTAACTCTGCTCTTGAGAAGATTGTTTCTTGACTTGGTTAGAAGGAATGCTTATTCTTTACTCTGAGATGATTTTCAACTGACTGTGACTATTTTTATATTTGGAAAATTATTTGTGGTATAACAATTTGAAACTTTAAAGTCACAGAGGACTATGTCACTGTATCAGCATTTTGTTTTGACATTCAGAAATATTTCTGTAATTTCCTAGATATTGACTGTATTTGCCCAAGTCTCATAATATTGGTATTTTTCCTCTGTATTCTGTGCAAAATAGAATCTCAGCTTCACTTCCTTGGAAAACAAACAAACAAAAAAACCTCTCAAAAAATGGGAACTCTACCATCCTGAGTTAATACCTGTAGAATGAGAAGAACTTTTTAAACTGTATTAAAATCCACATTTTTCCTAGTGATCAGTCACCCAGGGAAAAAAAACCCAAAACTTTAAGGGTATATTGGTCTTTCAGATTCTTCCTTCTTTTCAGAAGTATGAAACTTGCAGTCCAATGGCTGTCTGGGAAAAGGAATAACTCTTTTTCTTTACATCAACAGTTGCTCCAGAAGATCCTAGCAGAAAGGTGGACGGTGACACCATTATTTTCTCACACGTGCAAGAAAGGTCAAGTGCTGTCTATCAGTGCAATGCTTCTAATGAATATGGATACTTGCTAGCAAATGCGTTTGTGAATGTTCTGGGTAAGAAAAAGACTTCATCTTTTTCTTGGGTATTCAGTTGTCTCCTGCTAACACACAGACTCTGCTCAAGCCTTGCTTGAGGTCTCCATTGGGAATTGATCTATTTCCTGGCCCCTGTAAAGAGCAAGGGTATACATACCTTTTTTTTTGTAGGGTATTCCTGAATTTCACTTTCACTGTTCCAAAGTGAGAAGGAAAAATGTTTAAGCTGGGAAAACTTGGAAGAAATTTTATCTCTCTCTTGTTTTTTTTGTTTGCGTAAGTCAGTCAAACAGAAGCACAACAAAGAAGGCAGGAATTAGTATTGCTTAAGTTAGTACATTTCAGTACCGTTTCATTGAGTCTGGATGTTTTGGATTAGTGGAATAGATGATCTCCAAGTTGCTGCTGCAAGGGTACATGATTATGCATTTGTCTCTAAGGCTTCCCTGGCATGTGTTTCTGATTACAATGTGTTGTGGCCCCTCTAATTCTTCTCACTGAATTTAAAAAAGCTAGTAGCAAAATCCTAGGCAGAATGGCCTCTAGTGACTCTCCTGCAGGAACTGGCAGATGCGTTGATTGACATGGTCGGTTAAAAGAAAGAAAATGTAGGTGTTATACCACAAATGCATCCTAGCTTCTTTCTGCCTGCAGGTTTGTTTGGAACTAGATAGTTCAGTCTGTACCCAGGAGATTATCTTCTTGAAGTATGTACTGATTTAAATTTTCCAATTTAAATCATTGCCTTTGGTGCCTATCACTATTACTTGTAAATAGGCACGCAACTATTGTTTTTCAATTTCTTGTTAATTATTGTTGTTTTTCACAAAATAATTTCCCTGCATTAACTTTTCCTCAGGATAGTACCAGTAGAGCATATTTGAGCCCAGACTGAGATCCAAAATCATCCCAGGGAAAAATGTTTTTATGTAATTCTTTAGGCTATTCTTAATGTCTTTGTATTTTGTATTTGTAACTATGCTTTTTGCTATGTATTTACTATTTGTAATGTTGCAACTATATGCAGATATCTTTGTCTTTTCAGCTGAGCCACCAAGAATTCTAACTCCTGCTAATAAACTGTATCAAGTCATTGCAGACAGTCCCGCATTGCTAGACTGTGCTTATTTTGGGTCACCTAAGCCTGAAATTGAATGGTAAGCTCCAGCTGTGCTTATGTTACAGAAGATGAGCCAGTGGTATCTATGGAAACAAACACTTGAAGCTTTTAAACTCTTCTAAATCTATTTACAATTTTAAAATAATGTTTTAAAATAAATGCTGTTTACAATTTTCTAATACAATATTGCATGTACTTAATGAACAATCAGTAAAGTTACACCTACAGAGTCAAGTTTAAATTTCTTTGAGTGCTTCTGTCTCTATTTTCTAATGTGGCAGTCCTAAGTTTGTATTGTATTGATAATAAAACCATACAGAATTTAAGTGTGATGCTGGCTAATGATATTACTTCTTATACAAAGGTTTAAGGGAGTGAAAGGTAGCATCTTGCGTGGAAATGAGTATGTTTTCCATGATAACGGAACCTTGGAAATTCCAGTGGCTCAGAAGAATAGCGCTGGTACATACACATGTGTAGCAAGGAATGAATTAGGAAAGATACAAAATGAGGTGCAGTTGGAAATTAAAGGTGAGAAATTAGTCATTCTTTCATCACTGATTAGTACAGAATTTCAGACTTTCTGGATATCTAATTTTAGTTTTAAATTTCAGATCCAACGATGATCATTAAACAGCCAGAATACAAAGTGATTCAGAGATATGGCCAGGTTTCTTTTGAGTGTATAATAAAACATGATTCTACCTTACTACCAACAGTTACATGGTTGAAGGACAATGATGAACTGCCAGATGATGAAAGGTAAGGACCACATAGTTTTCCTTTATTTTTAATTTTCTACGTCCCTTTGTCTGCTCCTTTTCCTGATCTTTGAAAGGAACATACTGAGGAACATATGGACCTATTGACATATTTTCCAAAGAAGACTGATAAACATCATGGCTATCCAATATTTGGTGACTAGAGGACCTACCTAGTGTGATGAAAATATCAAGATAGAATTAAAAATGAAATGAGATGTAAACATTTATACAAACTGTGCACACTGGCCTTATAGATTAAGTGTAAGGTAAAGATAATTGACTTAAGAAGCCAAACAGATAACAGAATATGATTTTACTCTGGATCACAAATATTTAAAATTTGCATATATTTGGAAAGAAAAGCACATTAGAATAAAAGTCACTGTGGGAAGATGGTCAAGAGCAATGGGGAAAAAAAAAAGAAAAAAGATGATGTTGTCCCATAGCTTAACTTGGGTAAACATAGCTGTTTAGGCATGTACAAGTATATGGGATTTCTTTCTTATAACTGTTATAAGTTTCTTATAACAGTGCCAGTTATGGAAAAATCAGTGGCTGCATTTATTGTATTTACAGGTTTCTAGTTGGTAAAGACAACTTGACCATTATGAATGTAACTGATAAAGATGATGGAACATACACTTGCATAGTTAATACTACTCTGGACAGCGTTTCAGCAAGTGCTGTGCTTACTGTTGTTGGTAAGAATGCTCTCAAACTTCTACTGTTAAGTATGAAAACAGCATTAGATTTAAAGTGGAAAGCACAAACATGGTTTTTGTTTTTAGGACAGGATAATGGGAATGCCACCTAAATGTCAATGTGTTTCAGTTTTCAAAAAATGTAGTCTCACCTTACAGTTTGCATTTGAATCAGCTGCTTACCAAACAACTGAGCAGCTACAGGGCAGATTCGTGCTGTATAGTTTTTTATTTTGCCCACATCTGAGCTACTACAGGAAATTAAATTTTGCAAGGTATTTGAACATAAAGGTGGTAGAATCACAGAATGAATAGGGTTGGAAGGTACCTTTAAGGTCATTTAGCTCTAATCCCTCTGCCTTGGGCAGGGACACCTTCCACACAACCTGTCTGGGCAACCTGTTCCTGTGCCTCACCATAAAAAATGTCTTCCTAATACATAACATAAACCCACTCTGCTCTAGCTGAAGCCATTTCCCCTTGTCTTACCACTACATGCCCTTGTGAAAAGGCACTCTCCAGCTCTCTTGGAGCCCGTGTAGGTGCTGGGGACTGCTCTAGCGTGTCTCCAGAGCCTTCTTGTCTTTGGGCTGAGCAGTCCCAGCTCTCTCAGCCTGTCTTCATAGGAGAGGTGCTCCAGCCCTGTGGTCACCTTAGTGGCCCTCCTATGGACTCCTTCCAACAGGTCCATGTCTTTGTTGTGTTGGGAAAATGTTATCTCAGGAATCTCTTCAACAACTAAATTATGCTTCAGAAAGACTGAGCACACTTGGTTGTATGACTTCTCATGGATTGTGTTTTTAGTTCAGTTCTCTGTTAAGTTTTTATGATTGCAGATTCTTGCCAAATGTATTACTTTTCCCCTTCTCCCATTTCTCAGAAAGTTTTAAGTAGATGTCCTGAATGATTCTTACATGAGTTCAATCTGAGACTCAGAGCAAATATGCTTGTGTTTTAAAATTCTGCTGTGATCTTATGCCTATTCAGGAATGATCTAAGCCAAAAAACTGGTATTTATTTAGGCATTTTTATAAGATGGTTTACTTATTTATTTTCTTGATCTATCCTTATTTTAGAAAATTAATAGAGTAAAATATTCAAGAATACTTTTTTAGCTCCTCAGTGAAAAATTATAATGTGTTTTTTTTTAAAATAAACCATTCAATCTAAATAAGTTAACTTTTTTTGTATCTTAATATCTGTAGTCTTTAACTACCTACAGGCTTCTGTTTCTTTGGCTACTAACTGATTAAATCCTTTATATTAATGTTCTTTTCAGCTGCTCCCCCAACACCAGCTATCATTTACGGTAAACTAAAACAAGTTCTCTTTCTACATCATCAGGCAGATATATTGCTCATTTGCCTGTTACAATTTTTTTTGCCTATTTTTCCCCCTTTTCCTCTGTGTGTGTGTCTGTGTCTGTGTGGTTTCATCCCATTTTATCAACTACTTCATTACTGTAGCACAGAACTTTGGAATGTTACAGTACAGGCTGCTTTATATTTAGGAAATAACTGGCTTTCAGAGATAAATTACTTTTAATTAAGATTGGGTGTAGGATGGCAATGTTTTTCTCATAGACCACACTGTAACACAAATCAGTTATATAATAAATGAAATATCTAAAATGTAAATCCAACTCTTTGGTGAAAGGTAATTCACTATTAAAAACTTAGCACCAGCCAAATTATGGTGTATGTTAACCTTGGTTTTGCAGCCTTGTAGTCCTGCTTTATTTTATTTCATAGTTTATCTTAATTTTACTCCACTCATAAGTTGAATATGATCATACTGACCAGTTTGACTTATAATTGATGAAATCACCAAAATTTTAAAATTTAACTTAAACTTAAAAAAATAATAGTCTGTTAGTCAGGCATAGTCTTATATTTGATGGTATAGAGCCTTTAATTTAGTAGAATGTTTTCTGAATTTGGGGGTTCAAGTGCAATATAATAAGCTAAAGTATTTTTAAGTGTAAGGGTTTTAAGCACTTTTATGTAAATCCTGTCTGTGTTTTTTGTGTAGCAAATCGTACAATAAATTACCTTCATGAATTTGGAACAGACAATTATATCTTTATGCATCATAAGGATGTATAATAACAGCTTGCCTGGTATTTCTGAGTCTTTTTAAAAGAACAGCGAAAAATAAATAATTTAGTAACTTGCAATTAGTTTCTGTTTGAAGTATACTTGTTTTGAATTCACATAAAAATATTTGCAATGGTTCTAGAAAAGCTTCTTTGATATGAATGCTTCTTTATTTTCCATGTTGTATAAGGTATGTTTGTTACAATAGATAACCACCCATAATAATTCAAAGATAAACTAAACATGCATTTCATAATTCCTTGCATCTCATCACATTTTTATATCACATTGCACTCAGGCATAGATAAAAATAAATACCAATTCTTGTTAATGTATAGAAGTTTCCAGGTTACATCAGTTCTCCATTTTTGTCTGTTTTGTAATAATTGCATGCTATTAGTCTTTAAGTTATGCTTACATAAATGAGTAGACCTGCCCTGCTATATTTGTGGAATTCTTTGATTGGAATGTAAGGATTTTTTTTCAAATATTAAAGTACAGATTCTGGTGTGGTTACTTACTTTTTGTTCATTTGATTTACAGCTCGGCCAAATCCACCCTTTGACTTGGAATTGACAGGTCAGCTAGAAAGAAGCATTGATCTCTCATGGATACCAGGGGATGAAAACAACAGTCCCATTACAAGTATGTTTGATTGTATCTACTGCACTACATTGCAAGTGCTGTTCTAATTGTTCTCAATTTCCAAATACTTCTGGAATAAATTTTGTGTACAGCGTGGGAAAATGGTAAATTAACTCTCTAACTCTAGCTGCCATTTATTTACCTATCATACCCTTAATAATTACTGTACAGCCAAGCAGGAACACCAGCAGAGCTGGGCTTTTTCATTCAGAAACTTGTGCTAGATAATATAGAAGTTATATATACTGATGTAAAGTCTGTCTGACAAAATCCAATTTTATGAATATGTAGAGAGCAGACTTGTTGATTGCTTGTATGCTTCTGAAGGAGAGAGTTACTAACGTCTTGCATTAACTCTTTTGTAATTCTATGAATTTGAAATAGCGTTAGTACTACCATCATCAGTGATAAACCATCTCTGCTGGTGCAGAAGTTTATTCTTCATGAAAATATAAGGTAGATAGTTTTTCTGGGTTTTTTTTCTAGTCCAGACAGTTAAAAGAATAGACCAAATCCATAAAACTAAACAATTAAATATCTATAAAATTTTGAGGCAGTAAATTTATCTTAAATGCTGTTATTCTTCCCAGTAAAATGTAATGAAAAGTCTTACTTATATTGAGCAGAGAGGATGGGGGGAGGGAATTTAGGAGCAAGGAACAAAGATATTAATGTTTGTTTTCCAAAAAATCATAGGATCAGAAAGACTTTTTTGGCATTACTTTTTCCCTGTGAACATCTTAATTCAACTATTTCATTATTTATGCAGTGTGTTTTTAGATAATAACAGTCACAAGTTGCTAAGACCAGTGTAGATGTTATGTTTGGAACTAATTAGTTAGACTGCCTGGGTGTTGTTCTCCAGGATTTGATGCTGGTTTGGTATCAAAACTGAAAACAAACCATAAGGATCAGGTATCTGGAAAGAAACACTTGTAAAAAACAAAATTTCACCAGTTTCTGAAAACATCAAAGATTTTGACTGTATTTTAATGAAGCACTAAGTGATTTTTCTGAAATTTTACCGTCTCAGGCATCTCTAATGTATATCAACTAGTAATATACCTTAAAATATAATATATAGAAGATAAATGTAAATAGTTAAATATTGGTTTATTCACATACATATATTTTAATGAGTATTCTCATTTTTTCCACGCTAGAAGACAGAAGTGTTGTCTTTCTGTAGGAATAAGATCACATTGTTGCAAAAGATTTAATACTAGGCAGTGTTGTCTCTTGAAGGTTTTTCTAGAACAAGATTCTGCATGCACTCTCATATTGGAAACTGAACTCTTCTAACTAACTAAATAATGCTGGGTTTACTTATAATACAGTTTATATTGCTGCATGGTCTTCTTAGAGGCTGCAAAATAAGGCATTTGCTTCCTGAGTAAGCCTATTTCTCTTGCTGCTGCTATCACTTCAAAGTGCAGATGAAGACTCAAGGATTGCACTTCATTAGGAGTGTTCTGTTTGTACAACATGACTGACATGCTAGAATCTCTCTGAAAGCTCAGATAGTTTTTTTCCCCTTGAAGTTGCCTATAAATTATTCTACTGGAGTTGCAGGCAGAAGGCTAGTGGCCAGGGAAGCAAAAAGCATCAGTGAACACCTTTTTGGCATATAATATTCTCACTTTTTCAGCAAGGCTTTATCCAGGAGACATCGCATCCCAAGACCTGTGTCACTGAGCAAACAAAAGCAGCAATAGGTCAGACAGTAATTTGGGGTCAATTCTCCCTCTTACTACTTAGGTCAGAATGAAATCTGCCAGCCTTAAGTACAGAAGACTATGATTAGTGCTGCTTAAAATATAAAAGATTATATTTTGCTCCTCAAATTGTTGTGCATTTGTCTATGCGGTGCTGTAAGTATTCTTATAAGAGAAATTTTTAGATGCCACTCTGAGTTTTTTTAGTAGTCTGAACAGAATCAATCTTGAGTCATATTCTGTCTCCACCCACACATGAGATAGAGGAAAATTCTTGTTATACAGCACACAAATATTTGATGCCCCAGGTTCCATGGAATGTGCTCAGACTGTACATTCTTCCATTTATTTATAGTGTCCTAAAAATTTCTCCTAAGTCTTTCAGAATTCATATCTCATATCTTACAGCAAGGTTTTTTGGCTGTTTCACATCTGTAAAAAAATGTCCTTTTGTCTTTCATAATGAATATGATTTTCTTTTTGGAATTCTACAAACCTATTTATCCCTGAGGTTATATGCTTTGTAGGGTCTTGACAGTAATCATCATAATGTTCACACAGAGTGCTCTTAAGAAATTTAGTGTCTGAACATATGTTCCCTGATTTAATTTGAAGTTAATGAAAAGTACTCTCAAAAACCTTCCTCAAGTATAGGTTCTTGACTTTAAATAGATTTTCATTATTCTAGTTTCATTGGGGAAAATGGAATATTCAGGGAGTTTTAAATGTATACAGGTATTGCCTGCTGTCTGCTTGATACAACTAAGAACAATGTATTTGGCAGTCAAATTCCACTTACTTGCTGTGATAGTTCAAGGGCTCCCATTAAATTAAAATCCAGTACCTGGCAGAGAGCTCTTGTAAAAATGTGTTATCTGAGAGATGGCTGCATTAGTGACAGTAGCAAAGGATAAAATTAAGGGTTTATTTTTATATTTCACCTTTATTTCTACTTTTGATATCCACATTATAGATTTGTGTTAGATTTATATATTTACATGTCAGGTTCCATGATATTTGAAAGCACTGGTTGGAGCAATCCCTTCTGGCTAGCTCATTCAGAAATGAAATTCAGTACTTGTCTGGGAAGCTGTTTTGAGTTTTGACGTAAAGTTGGATGCAATTCCTGCTTGCAGGCTTTGTGATTGAGTACGAAGACGCGCTGCACGAACCAGGAGTGTGGCATTACCAGACGGAAGTCCCTGGCACTCAGACAACGGTGCAGCTGAAGTTGTCGCCCTATGTCAACTACTCCTTCCGTGTGATAGCTGTCAATAAGATTGGCAGAAGCCAGCCCAGTGAGCCATCTGAGCAGTACCTGACAAAATCTGCAAGTAAATAATTATTCCCACTTCCCAGTGATTGATTCCTGCTATGAATAGCATTGAGTTTGCTTGGAATCACACAGCAGCCATTCTTGTTCACGTGTAAACGTTTTCTTTTTAGGCCCTGATGAAAATCCTGCTAATGTACAGGGGATAGGCTCAGAACCTGATAATTTGGTAATAACATGGGAGGTAAGAAGGGTCTTTTTTCAGGATTTCATTTGTTTTCAGGTTTGTGAGTAGCATTTTTTTTTTTTTTGTTTTGAGAACCAATGATGAGAATACCCAATTGCCTGTTTAAAATATTCTTGAAAAGGAGCTAGATTCATACATTTCCCCATATTCGTTTTCCTGGAAAAACTGATTTTTTTTTTTAATATGAAAATAAGTTAAAGCGGGGGGTGTGCATATTTCCTTGTGTGATTTCTCAAGATAAGCCAATAATTAGGTAATACAGGATGTTTTGCTGCCACTTTAGAAAAACTTCAAAATATAAAAGGAGGTTCATTTCAAGTAGAGTCTAATTTTTAGAGTGAATTCTAATGTGGATGCTACTTCTACTGTCACCTTTTATGATAAACTAATCATTGTGCACTTCCCATGAGAAAACTTCTGTTGAAGTTTTAGTGACCAACATCACTCAATGTGCTTTTTTACCAAAAAGTGAAAACTGAAAAAAAAAATGGTCAACTGAAGTGACCTCTTGTAAAAGCTATATTGCATAACTTTCAGCGGTGCTTCTCTGTTGCAGAATACAGTGGTAAATTTTCAGTGACATTCTATAAAAGAATCAATGTATTTCTTTCTAAGTTAAGATTTTTCAGATGCTTCAGAATATTTAAAAAAAATATTTCTTTTCATTTCAGCCTTTAAAAGGTTTTCAGTCTAATGGACCAGGGCTTCAGTACAAAGTCAGCTGGCGCCAGAAAGATGTTGATGATGAATGGACATCTGTTATAGTTGCAAATGTATCTAAATATATTGTGTCTGGTACACCAACTTTTGTTCCATATGAAGTTAAAGTACAAGCTTTAAATGACTTGGGGTATGCACCAGAGCCATCAGAGGTGATTGGACATTCAGGGGAAGACTGTAAGTTTTGTAGTTTGACTCAGTTATCCTAATTAAAAGGAACTAAACATGTAATCTGAGTGGGTATTTAAAATACTGAAATATTGATAAGGGAGATAGTAGTTATTTTTTTAATTAAAAGGAAGCAATTTGGAGATATTACTCTGTAGTATCAATGCTGAAAGCATAGGAACATTTTAACCTCAGTACAATGCAAAGACTCATACTAAAAAACTATGTTTGTGTGGTTTCTAATTCTAACTAGGTGCTTATTGCATCCTTTCCACACAGTGCCAATGGTTGCTCCAGGCAATGTGCAGGTTCATGTTATTAACAGCACATTAGCAAAGGTCCATTGGGACCCAGTTCCACTGAAAACTGTCCGAGGACACCTTCAAGGGTACAAAGTAAGTACTGTCAAAAGCATTCTCTTCCTTGTTTATTAAAATAGATCAATCTTCCCGTATGAGATTGTATCCAGATTGTGTAACTGACATGTAAGAGGACTCGTGCTTTTCAGTGAGCTCCCAAGTTCTGCTGACAAGTGCAGCAGCTTTGATGCAATTCATACAGAGTTCAGCAATGTTCCAGCCCTGTAGCACTAGCTTTCTGTGACATTGTCCTTGCAGAAAAATGGCATGTGTTTGCAATCAAGCTTGCACATGTTAAACAGGTTAAAAAATGGTAACAGATCTTTTTCCAAAGTAATTTAGAGGATGTGAAGAACTACTTTTGTAGGGGTTTCTTCTAGGTCTGATGCTAAGGTTACTAATTTTCTGCTTCAATATGATTAATCATGTTTTTAATTCAGAGTAACTGGGCACTTACTAGCATATGCTGGCTTCTGTGTCTTTTTGGAGGCCAGGAAAAAGCTCAGTTTAAAAGCTCAACTTAAGGACATATGAAATGGCAGAAGATTCGGAGTGCCCATATAATGGAAGGAAACTTATTGTAAGGTAGTGTGCTGCCTTTGGTCATAACTGAAAAGGCTGTGCTGGAGAAAAAAGACTGCAATTTAACAGAGAAGGGGAGACACAAGGACTTCAGGATTTGAAATTGGTGTCCCTGGAGGATAGGAAAAAGTTGCGGAGGATAGGGAAAAGTTGCTTCAGTGAGGGAACTACAACATCCTATGTAACAATTGAAGAAAATCAAAGTAATTCTTTCTTTGCTCCTCTGTAAGTATTCTCATAAGTGCGTTCTAACAAAACGGATTATTTAGTCCAAACTAGAATAAGACTAATTTGAACTACTTCTTTTTAAGTGAAAGGAGGTAAAAGAAATATTTGAAAAATTAAAACAGTAGAGAGTATTTGGAGGAGAATAAATATGCACCATACTTATAAAATGGAGCAGTCAGAAATGTTGAAACTGAACTTCAGTGCTCTATAACTGGTTACCACATGAATGTGAGTTCCTGGTATGTGAGTATCTCTTTCCTGCCAGAAAATACCATCATCCAGAGAGACTTACACTAATTCTGTATGAGGTAGTGTGAATGTTTGTAGTTTGTGTGCTGCTTTGCCACACTAACACAATAAACTCAGTTGAGAAACAGGACTTCACTAGTCTCTTGAATGTTTATCTAAAGATGACAGCTTTACATCCATCTGATATTTCATGTACAAATGGGCAATCAAAGGAAAATGTCTGTGATGATTAAAGGGTTGGAATCTAGTGAAATTAGTGGTAGTTATTAATCAAGTTACAGCAACACTAAAGCTCTTAATCCAAATCACCAAATTTCTATTAAAGAGCTATAACAGTACCAAACCCAAAATCCATAGACACACTTCTCCCTATACATCAGGTGTTAAGTTCAGCAGCACGGTTACAGTGAATTGTCATCATCCAAAGTTTAGATGGACAGTTCTTTTTCCTCTGACTTTCAGTGTCTGAGGGTTGTCTTCTATCCTGTAATCACTGATGGGATCACTTTCCTTTCCATGTGATCTAGGGGGTTAGTCATGTCATGACCACTTCTATTTAATTTGTTATGCTTTCTCTATATACAGTATAATTTTTTTTCTGTGGGGTGGAGAGCCACACAATTACACAATGCTAAGAAAAAGTGAAGGTCAAATAAGTTACTTGATAATAATAAATAAAACAAGCTCACAACCACAGGACTGACAGCAGACCAGACCACTGAGTAGTTTTGCTGTTCTGGCTAGGACAGATGTGACAATGATATATCCTTGAATAAGCTGCAGATGCAGCAAGAATACCTTAAATAATTTTTGCAAATGCAGCTAAATCAAGCTAAAATAGGTTCAAGACTAGACAGGGCATGAGAACTCATAAGACCTGGTGGGAAGCTATTATTAAAAAGCTTTCGCTCAATACAAACTGAAAACTTTTCTTGGATGAAGTATCTTCATCATTGACGTAGCTTTACAAAGCACACGACGTGCTCTTTGTAAACACAGAAGCAAAATCCTACTAGCACACTCAGGCTTTCCTAATTAATAAAATTCTTTCTGTCAGTAGCCCAATATACAGTGTTGCACTGGGGACAGATTTCTTAACAAAGAGAGAACTAAGAGAGTAGCTAAAGAGTCACGTCTTGAAGGCAAATGTCTGAACAAAGCAGGAAGAGGTATAACTAAGCAGCACTCTCCAGCACATAATTCATATTTTGCTCTTGTATTAATCTAGCTATTACTCAATATACTGCAGTACTATAAAGCTTTTCAAACCTAGGAAGAAAGTATGGAAAACGTGATGTACTCTATTTTGTTATAGCTTATGAGTTTCAGTACCAATAGTACCAACATTTCAAGTTTTGTTAGCTTGTAAATGATTTTCTACAGTAGCTGATAAGATGAGAGCTGTAGGATGACAGCTGGTGATATTGAAAAACATTAACTCAAACCATGTAAAACACAGTGGCATTTAAAAGTGATTGGAGTGAAATGGTATGTTGAAAGCTGGTGTAAGTGCAACATTGCTTTATGGCTATCTAGCTGGGCTTTGCAAGTCTTAGCCCCTTTTTTTGAATTCCTATGTGAAATCCAGGCTTCCTGAATTAAAGAGGGGTTTTACAGTTGGCCTGAATAGGAATAGATTTTTTATTCATTTAGATTTCTTAATGATTTTTAGCTTCTGATCATATGTGTATGAAAATGATGCTGTGAAAAATAAACAATTGTGTACTTGAAGATGACAATCTTAGGAGTAGCACAAGTCTTTTGGAGGGGCAGCTATTAATAACTTTCAAGTTACCATGGTAGAGAGACTGTGTAGTAAAGAGAGTGCAGGGAAAGCATCTCTGAGGCTGATATGTGGTTTCTTAGAAAGTCAGCTCAATGGACACCAGCATCAGCTTTCTCATCAGATCAAATTATCACATAATTGGAGGAACAGTTTCCCATCACTCCAGTACTGTAACCTTAGATTAATTTCAGAACTTGTGTGGTTTTCCAGCCAAATCAAATCTTTTGATTTCTTTCCCATTTATAGGTAACCTGACATCAAGGAATAGCATGGTCAGGGATGTGATCTAACAAGGAGGCAAAGTCCAAATCTGCTTTGGAAGGCCTGTAGGCATCTTACTGAATGAATGGATAACTTCTGCCTCCTGGATAACAGGAGAATGATCACAGACCAATGTAGTTCCCAACCAGAGCTTGTATCAGACTGGTTTTGAGCATTAGCAGATTGGCAGGTGGTAGTCTGCACTCGATTGTGTAGACTGTTTCTGGACAAGGTCTGTTTCTGGAGCAGGAAAGCTCTGTGCTGTGTCTAACCTGAGCTTATTAAAATTGCAGTTATTTCTACCTATAATTAATGGACACTCCTGGAAAAGCTCAGAGTTTAGAAAATCTGAACACCTAAGCACTCACTGTAATTTTTTTTGTTTGTCTTTAGGTTTACTACTGGAAAGTGCAGAGTCTGTCCAGAAGGAGTAGACGACATGTAGAAAAAAAGATCTTGACTTTCAGGGGAAACAAGACTTTTGGAATGTTACCAGGGCTGGAGCCCTATAGTTCTTATAAGCTGAATGTTAGAGTTGTTAATGGTAAAGGAGAAGGACCAGCAAGCCCAGACAAAGCATTTAAGACCCCTGAAGGAGGTATGAAATGAAAAACCTAGATATTAAACTTAAATGGGGTTTACTTGGACTTCATAAAATAATAATCTCTCTCAATACAGTAATATTCTTAAAAATTAATAATTAATGGCCTGTTTTAAGTTAATCTACATTGTATTTACTCTATGTTCTTTTCAAAAGTTCCTAGTTCACCTTCCTTTCTGAAGATTACTAACCCAACACTGGACTCTCTGACTCTGGAGTGGGGCTCACCCACCCATCCAAATGGTGTTTTGACATCATATACACTGAAGTTTCAGCCAAGTAAGTTCAATATTAATATATTTTGGGAGTTGGACTTCTGATCTTTCAAGTTCTTTCCAACCCAAGCCATTATTTCATTCTGTGATAAAACTCTAACTTGGGCAATGTATCTACCAAATAATAATCCATTTATGAAGAAAAAGTTATGTTAAATTTATAGTGTACAAAAGATATGATTGCATTGTAAGTGTCAAATTTGAAAAAGACTAATATATTTTGATAATATAGATGACTGTATTTGGAAATCTTTTCTTGCTGTAGTGCAAGGTTAACATTTTTATTACTTTCATTACTTCAAACCATAATTCACGGACAAGTGGAGGTGAGGTCCTACAGATAAGTGGCATCCAAGTTAGATGCAAGGTACTACTACTTACAAACTCTATGTTCTAACTGCAGAGAAAATGTCATTAGAAGTAAATCAAAGTATGCCCAATTACATTGTTTTCTGCTTTTCCAATTTTTACAGTATTATAATCTTAAAAAGAAAGATTTGTAAATGTGCCATTTACTCATCTCAGAGCTATTAAATCATTTCTTTTGGATCCCAGTTGCTTACTTAGCCCAGAAATTTCTCAGCAGTGACACTGGAAAGGAAAGAGTTTCATATGCATGGAACAGATAAAGGAAATTTACCTTCCTCCACTTACCAAATCCATCCCACTGTTCTTTGACATTAGACACAAGTAGCTTCAGTGTTTTCTTTTCCTAAGCATACTGAGCTTAGAATTTCAGAATTTTTCCATGGTGAAGGAGGGCTTCAACACTGCATAAATTCAGATTATTTGAACTGAACTCATTTGCCTTGCATTCAGAGATTTATGAGAATGAAATTTGATCTTAAAAAACTTGCTGGTGTTTCCTGCCTGCCAGTTGGATTTTAGCACCTTTACACAAAGGTGACTTTCTTTTGAAAGTGTAGATGCAGCAGACAAGCAAAAAAATACATGCAAAACAAAAGCATTTTAAAATGCAATGACAGTGTATGCAAGTTTCCTAATTTTTTTGTTTTTCTTTTTTATTGTAACAACAGTCAACAACACACATGAATTGGGTCCCTTGGTAGAGATAAGAATTCCTGCCAATGAGAGCAGCTTGATATTAAAAAATTTAAATTACAGCACCCGGTACAAGTTTTACTTTAACGCACAAACTTCAGTTGGATCAGGAAGTCAGATAACTGAGGAAGCAGTAACAATTATGGATGAAGGTAAGATATGTATGTATAAGGAAAGTCCTTTGACTTTAAAAACCCCTACAGATTGTATTAAACATCTGTATCTAAATATAGCGATTGCTTCCTTTCACTAAGGAAATAGGACCAAGTGGTTTTTTTAAGTTTGGTTTGTTTTTTTTTTTTTTTTTGTTTTGGTTTTTTTTTGTTTGTTTGTTTTTGTTTTTTTGTTTTTTGTTTTTTTTTGTAGAGCTTTCTTAACTGTGTCATACATGAATAAAGCATTTCAAATATTTTTAAAGAAAATACATGTAAAAGCTTTCTGCTGTAGTGGGAACCCCCAAAGAGGTATAAAGCCTCTTCTTTTAATATCAACTCACAAGCTCTAAGACAGACATTGGCCTTTCTGAGCTTCAAGTTTCATGTAACTTTACATTTTTAGTGGTTTATTGTCTATTCACCTATTCTGCATCATTGACCAGCTTTGGTCACAGAGAAAAATACCGGAATGATGCGGGTTTGTGATTAGAGGTGGTTATTTATTTTTTGTAGTATGCAGCAGCTTCTGTGAAATCTAAATTGCTTTCACAGAACTGGCAAAAAACTGTAAAACTGTTTAAATAAGTTTGTCATCTATGGCCCCAAGTAACTGTATAGTATTTCAAAACCACCAAGTATATTGATAAATCCTGTCACCATTGATTTTTATATTTGTAGCCATTCTAGAGCTTTATTAGAGTTGTTTTTTAATTAAATACAGATGCTCAACAAAATAAGAATAGTTTAAAGCCAACAGAAAATTTGGAACTTTTTTTATAATTTTGATCATCTTAATATTAATAAGTCTATTTTGGTACCTTGTTTTCGCATATTTTTGTGCTCATTAAAATGATGGTTTATTGGAATTGCCATAGATGAGTTGCTATTCAATGCAATTTCTCTGATAGGGTATTAGGTTTGCATATGAACTGCATTTATTTTAAATCTTGCACCTTAACAAGCATGAGCAATAAAATATTTTAAATGCATGTACAATCATTTTGTCTTGTAGTAGTCTGTCAGGGTTCAGCATAAATGGATTCTTTCTAATTTATTTGAATTAATACATTTTATCTAGTCTGCATGTTTTTTGTAGTGAAATTATATATGTATGTTTCCTTTGGTGTTGTATCTAATTATGTAGTGTTCCTATTCTTGTTTTCCTCCATTAAAGCTGGTATTCTCCGTCCTGCTGTAGGTGCAGGCAAAGGTAAAATGAAACTGCATGATTTATTAATGTGTGGATTTTGCAGTGTTGCAAATGGGGAAATTGCAGTGGTAAGGAGAGAAAATCTTGGACTACATATTTTTGTACAAAGTATAATCAGGGCTGGAAGAAAACAGTTGTGGAGGATTTTTGTTTGGGTTTGTTGGGGTTTCTTTTAAGGAATACAGAATGCTTATTAATACCTTTCATCTGTTTATTTTGCCATAGAGTTCCAGGGGAATTCATTAGCTTTGCTTCAGCAAAGTCTAATTATTTCTGAACATTTAAGAGATGTATGTCACTGTCATAAATATTCAGGATCCAGGTGCACTAGCACTGATTAGCTGGAGTAGAAAAAACATTACTTTCGCGAAGGAGATTCATTTACTGCTTGTGCCATATGCATTTTTTTGTTTTAAATAATATCTGCACTCTTGTTCTCACAGTGGATTACTGCTACCCACTTGAACACATTTACTTAATTCGCAAGCCAACTGTGCATAGGAGACAGATGACTGACAATACCCTCTGTCTACTTCTCAGTTTGAGTATCAGATTGAATATACAGGCACATTGAATATTCCCACTGCTTTAGGTTCACAGATCTTGTGAGTGAGTACTTGAGGATATTTCAGTGAGTACAAGCTAGTATCATTCTTTTTCATTACTTTTGGTAATATTTAGTTCTTTATGATGCAGTTTTGCACACACTTTTAATGAATTTTTATACCTTCATTGTCAGAAGCAAAGGTTGTCCTGAGATAGCTCAGGCTCAGGAATGTCTCTCTATACAGAGGTGTCATTGAATGACAAGTGTCATTAGCACTAATGAACACCTCTGCTTCAGATTCTCAGACCATAAACATCACAAGTCAAAATCTGTATATGAAGTACCCAACATTTCTAATAAACTTGGAAGAGACAGCATAAATTATTTTACATATAGTTTCTTTTCACTTGATTATCAGGTGTTATGAATGACAGCCATAATAAAGATATTCATTCACTTAGTCTGGTATAAATCAGACAATATATAAATATATGTATGCCTGCATTTAGGAATACATATATATATATATGTATATATATATTTATATGTATATATAAGTACTATCAGATGTATTTCTGCAAATGTGTGAAGTTGTGGAGTTACTTTGATGACAAGTCTTTTTTTACTATTTTAGTCTAGTCATAGTTGAGAAGTCAGCACAGATTGGAACAATCAAACTGGCTTTAGTCCTGGACATGCACAGCAGAAATGTAGATTAAGTTGTCATTATTTATAGCTGACTCTAAAAAGTCATGCAAGGAAAAATGGATTCTCTGTGTGAAACTGAGGTGTAATTATAGCTGTATGTGGCTATCAGAAAGCATCTTATTTGTAAGATTAGCTGGAGCAGCTCACATTTCAGAGCTGTCATCTCAGGTTCTCAGAAAACTAAGCAGATGTCTTTGGTTCCATGTTGTTTATGGTTTCAAAGTTTTCACATATTCCTGTAGCATATAGCTCTTGCAATTACAAAGAAGACTTTGGACTTGCAAGCAGCACAGAACTAAAGCCATGACATCTGTTAGGACATCTGAGTTGCTGCAGGTCTGAGATGAATGTTCTCAGTGGTTACTACAATACCATGTTAACTGCTTTGCCACTGATCAGGCACCACGAGTAAGGAAAAGGAGGATCATATTATCAAGATGGAGCCCCGGATTAGTTGGTCTCATGAGTGGGTGGATTTGGAAGATAGAAGTGCTCAGCCCACTCAAAAAGTAGCTGTACCCAGCAGTGAACTTTCCTTTTTCTATTAAGTGCAGGAGGGCCTATATGTCTTTACAGTTCTTATTAATTTGGACCCGAAGCCAGAACAAATTTAGACCACAACCATTTTGTGGTCTATCAAAAACATATCAGGTTTTTAATTTTGAAGGGCAGAATTTACCAGGAAAATGTAATTATCCTTTTTTCTTTTGATTTGAGCGCACTGATCCTGGAATTTAAGTAGACAGTAAGTCCCAGATTCAGCCAGCCTAAAATGCTGAACTGAATTTCAGCATTTGGTGTTTTCTACTGGATAGCTGCCTGTGAAGACCTGCAGTTTGGCCAGTCATATACATTAGACACGTGGTCCTGGAGGACTTCAAATAATTTAAACCTTCGTGAGCTGTGCCACTTGGGACATATTTCACTTCTCACAGTAAAACTACAAATTAAAGTGCAGAGGGATATATTGCTGTGGTAAATCTAAGGATCTTAATAGATTCAATATTTTTAGTGTCACAAGCCTACATGAGTAAATCATTAGATGTTATTTACTGGATGAAAAAGCTATTGTATTATAGTTGATAATCCTATTTGACTTGAGCTGTCATTTTTTCTTTCTAATACTGTGATGTTATGAATTACCTAAAATTGATCAAATTAATGGTACTACAAAGAAAAAAAGAAAGAATTTTTCTTAGCAACCTATATTCTAAATGTGTCTGAAAATTTCATATGTAAAGCAGAATTTATTATACCTAATGTTAGATATTAAGCATGCCCTGGTATTGCCATTTAAATATTGGCACCTAACCACAGGCATGAGGTAACAGAGCTGTGAGAAAAATGAAGGAATAACCCAATTACATGAATAAAATAATTATAGTAGCACCTGCAAAGTGACTCAGATGATCGCAGGATCAAGTCTTTTCTGTCCTTTTCCATTAGAAGTTTCGAATAACTGCCATGTAGAGGAAGGAATAGAATTCCAATTTGACCAGTGGTAGAAATGAAAGTTGCTGGTAAAAATAGTCATAGGGATGCATGTTTTTTGTAAGCTGAGGTATAGGGAGTCATGGCATGGCATGTCAGCCTCATTCACAAGCCTCCTCATTTTACTTTTTAGCTTCTTTTTGATTTAGTCAGCATTTATATTTGAAAGCAAGGACTTCTAATCTGCATGCATGCTGACACTGGTAACTGGTAGTCTTGAAATGGAATTAAAATAAGTTTGTGAGATCACAGTAACCTTTAATTGTAGTTCGTGCCCCCTGTCACTGGTACTCACTCTGGTCTGTCTTCTTCATGTGAACTTCATATCTTGAGTACTAGTGACAAATAGTACTCCCTTTTGTTACAAGGGGGTTTAATGAGTAGTCTGTCCTTTGGGTTTGAAGCTATTCTTTTGGGGTTTTAGGATGAATCACCAGTATGCAGCTCCTCACTGTAGGCTGGAAATCATTCTGAGCTGAGTTTTTATCTCTGTTCTCTTTGTAGAGCATCTCAGTTTTCTTTGTTCTGTACAAAATGTAGTTCTTTAAATAAGTTTCTCTGCCCACCATCTGTTTTCCCTCTCTCTTGAATAATTTCACATAATGTCTCCATGTCTTTTGCTAACAATTTCAAGCTGCTTTTACAGTCAAGTTAAGTGTAGTATTTTTGTATTGCTCCTTCAACCACTCTCCCCCTGTGGACTTCTCCATTATGTATTTGTGTGATTCTTTCAGTAGAGCCTGCTATGCAGAACCACTCTTTTGTCCTCTTTTAAGTTCACTGGGAACAATGCTGATGCTTTGCATGCTAGACTATAGAAAATTATTATTATCACTGTGCAAAAATTCCTGAAAATGCCTTTTGCTTTATAGATGTCATGCTACATGCTCATCAGTGACATAATTTTTTGCATTTCTTCTTTGGCTTCTGTATTTCTTACACTAAAGAAATGCTCTTGCAATTGATCTAAATAATCCCAGAAGTGACTGATGCCCATTTCTCACTGCCAGAAATGAAATTCACTCCTACTGTTACACTAAAGCTTGAATTTCGTACTACGAATGTTAAAAAGGCAAAGGAAAATAAACCTCTTTTCTGTGTCTGACAGGCTCTGGCAGAATCTGTTACCTTTGTTCTTCATTTTTTCTTGTGTGGCTGTGGGTTTTTTCCTTTAAATTAACTTTTCTCTTAATATATGCATTTTAACTTAATTGTTTATGATATATTGTTTTGTGGGTTTTTTTTTTTTTCCCGTTTGACACTAGTCTTCAAATTTGTGCTTGGCACTCACCCAACATTTTTTCCTGAATATCAGGTGAATTCCATGAAAATTCCGAAACTTCAGTCACTTTAGGGATTATTTGATTTATTGTTCTTCTGGACTAAATATTGAGAAAGAGTACTATTTCATTGTTAAAATACCTTCCAATCTCGTGTCCTGTCTTATTAAAATTTATTGATTCTGCAGCCTGGCTATAACTCTTCTTTTTAGGAACTGTGTTCCTGAAAGGCTGAAAAATTAAATAAAACTCTACCAAAAGACTCCAGTAAAAAAGCACTGGAATTAATTTGAAAATAGAAGAAAATTTTACTTTGAGCCTAGGCCTCTTTCTTGATTGGCAAATTGGCAAATCATGTGGTACTACAGGAATAAAACCATACTTGGAAATGCCAGCTGAATTTTGCATTGTATCGAGGCAGGAATGAAAAAGCTTAATTTTCCAGAGGTAGACGAATAAGAGTGAGTCTGTATAAAACCTGTAGCTTACCAACAGTCCATTCCCATGATTTTTAGAGTGATGCTTTTGCCAGCACTGCTGCACTGTGTGGGGCATGGTTACAGATGAGAGAGCACAGTGCTCTGCTCTCCAGGACAAAGTTTCCTGCCTGCCCCTCTCCCCCCCTTTTTCCCAACTGGCGCTTGCACATGCTGGGAGCTTCTGCCAGCTGACGATGACACATTTGCCATTTGTGAACAGTGCTGGGAAACGTATTGAAGAACTGAGAGGTTAATTATAATTAGAGGTGTGGTGATTGAGAAAACAAAGAGTCTGGGTGGATTGACTACAAGCTTTAAATGTCATAACCAATTCACCTCCAGGCTTTTATCATCTCAGGATCCATCAGCTTTCTTTTATGTTCTTCTGTGTGTAGTCATGTTGCAAATATGGCACATTTAACAGACTTAAGTAAGACTTGGCAGGCCTGATGGCAAATGAGATCAAGTAATAATGCAAAAGAGGATAATTGAAAAAATAATAATTTTGCAAAGAAATGTGCTACTGAACAAATTTCCTGGTGCACCTTATTCAACAGTTAAAACCCACAGAATTTAAATCTGACCAAGTACTACATGTGGGTAAATCTGTACAGCTATTGGTAAGAATCAGTTATGAGTGCATTTGATAAATATAAGCATAAATTAGTCACTTGAGAGAATTTAGATGTAAGATAGCAAGGAAATTGCAGTAACTTTCAGAGCAAACTTGATTGTTTGATCATATCATATGAACAGAAAGACTTTTACCAGATACTTTAATCTAGTAGGCAACTCTTTAATGAGAGCAGAAACTGGAAGTTTGAGATGGAAAAATACCCCACAAGATAAGATCAAGCAGTTATTGAATTTGCTTAGTAATTCAGAAACTCCATCATCTGGGGTCTTTCACAGAAGATGAGACAGTTTCCTTCATCCCCAAATGCTCAGGCATGAGAAGGGAGAAGTTAGGGGTAATGCTGTGGCATCTGTTTGCAGGAGTATCAAACAGATTTTTGCTAACAGTTTTTTCTGTCTTTAATATTGTGACAAATATCAGTCGTACTGTTGGGCTGCTAATTAGACATCTTCCATGGAAGACCAAAATCCAGGACAGTATGGCTTTGAGAAAATACAATTTAATGAAACAAAACAAAGTCATACTTCAAAATACAAACCACTTGTTTTCTTGGCACAGCACAAATGCTGAGATTGTTATTGAAATAAACACCTGTTCCTATGTCTAAATCAGGAAGGAAGTTTATACATCCTGTCTGCAATCTCAGACTCTGCACCCTTCTAAATTTAGTGACTGCTTTTCTTTCCTCTTGCTACCTCCACAAGTGGCACAGAGAAACAGAATCTAATCCCCTTGCATTACCATAGTTATATCGTTACATGCTAGATTTCCCATAGACAGCTCTGGCTTTGGTATTTCTCAGGGTGGTTGTTGTGACTTAGAGACCTAGAAGGCTTGCAGAAATTTTTTTTTTTTTTTTTTAATCTAGTGCTTTCTCAATTATTTTGTTCAGGTGGTTTTAATAAGAAAGTAATCTGGTTTTTATTATTTAAATACTGTATTCCTTATTATTTTGGTTGGTGAAAGAAATTATATATAAGGACAACTTAGCTATAAAAACATGGGGGAGCAGTACAGATTGAATTGTTGAATGAGTACTACTGGAACAGAGTTAAGAAGAAATATGCAAATATGGGGATAAAAAATTTATTTTGTAAAACATTGTAATAATCAGAATACATTATCAGAAGAACTGATGGAATTTGCCTAATTTAGGTATTTTTAAAAATATTTAGAAATTGTAGTTTTCTAGACATGGTACTCATATTATTTCATCTGTTCTAGGGGCCCAAGTAAGCCATTTTCTCTGTGCATGTCACTTTGAACTTTTTCCAGCTGGCCATATGGACAAAGCCAGCCTGTTAGAAGAAGAAAGTAATTTAAGTGGATAGATAAATTCTCTGTAGCTTCTTTTGCCTTGATAACAGGCTTTTGTTCATTTTTTTTTCTTGTGTAGATGAAGCCATTGGAATCCTGTCCTTTGTCTTTATTGAGACTAGATTTTTACCTCTGATGTTTCATGGTCCTTTGGGAAGCATTTTTAATGTTTCTAATAGAAAAGATATTTTTAGCAGGATAGAAAAGTCAGTGGCAAAGTGAAGCATTTTCAGTTAAAACTGATTTCATACCTCTGAGGAGCATCCTCTTTGAATCTGCCCTATTATAGCATTAGAACTATATAAAATCTATGTTTTCATTAGTCTTAGGCAAGCAGAGACACTGAGCTTTATGTCCATTTGTACCAAGCATTACTGGAGCTATGGTATGAGCAAAGAACAAAGGTCTGAGCAGAGAAGTGGCTAATTTCAGAATGCTGAAGCTCTTCTTTGCGCAGATGTGGGCATTCTGCGTGTCTGTGAGAAGTGCTGTCGTCTGAGCAGAATGGCAGCAGTGAGACACAGTGCCTTACAATGGGCAGCTCCTTGCATTCCAGTCCTTGGTGTCCTTCACTCCAGAGTACTTTCATATTGGCTTTCCCATACCTGATGTCTAGTTTTCCAGTGTCTAAAGGGGCCACAAATGTATAATATTAACAAAAGCTGATTTCAGGAATGTCCTGTGAAAGCAAAGCTGCCAGTACATACATACTTCAGTTTGTTTTCAAATACATGTGTATCACTTAGCTGTTTCATATTTTAACTAGTAAAACTATTTGAAAGCTGCATGATCTTAGAATGTGCATGTGTTATTTATTTAACAGGTAAGGTTTTACTGTATTAGTTAATTGCTACTTTTTGATGCAAAATGTTTTTACTCTTTATTTCTTTCTTTCCTACTATCTCTGATGGTGAAGGATATTCAGAAATCCTTTTTGCAACTTCCCCAGTCATGCATACTGTCCGTCCAACATTCTATAAGGGTATTGTCTTCCTTTTTTATCACTATCCATGCAATAGAGCCAAAATCCTATAAGGGCTTGCACTTGGGGCATTTGCAGTCCATTCAGTGCCACATGCCATAAAGGGAGGAGCATACCACCTTCATGCCTCCCTTCTGTCCTACCATTTCCCATTACTCTGACAATGTTCTCATCTCTTTCCAGCTGTCTGCATTTTACTTCCAGATGAATAGAAATAATGTTTTTCAGAATTTTGGCAGTTAGGTACTTTTTAAGTATTTGGCAGTTTTGTGGTACAGAGCATGCTCAGTAAAATACATAGATTTTACTTTATAATTTCTTAGTGTAGTAACTGCCTGGGATTAAATTTCAAAATACAGTACTTTAGTCACTAATTTCCAGTAATGGAACCAATGAAAAATGTGCTATACTTTCCCTTTATATGGTCTAAATTAACATAGTAACTTCTTTTAATAATTTTTTTAAATGTATGAAGTCACAACTGCATATTCTGCTTTGTTTTTCTGTTGTGTATTTAGTTCAACCACTTTATCCAAGGATCAGAAATGTTACAACAGCTGCTGCTGAGACCTATGCCAATATCAGTTGGGAGTATGAGGGACCAGATCATGCGAACTTTTATGTTGAATATGGTGTAGCAGGCAGTAAGAAGTCATTTCATTAAATTATGCTAAAGTTTTGAGATGTATTTTGAAAGATTTTTATAGTAAATGGGGTCTTAAATTGACCCAGTGTTAATGATAGCTCTTAAATGTCTTAAATTATTTTATAATTTGATCAGGAAGATCAAATAATTTTCATTTTAATAAACATCAATGCTTAGCAGGTTTTTGATGAATAGATAAATATGAACCTTTGTTCCTTTGTATTATTTTATAAATTCTTTTGATCGTGAACTTCTGAAAACATAGTTTGCATGAAGTTGTTTATTGTGAAGCGATTACATGTGTAAAAATACGATTACTGGCATTAAAATAGGATACAAGGATTTTCCTAAATTATGCCCAATTCAGGAAAGAAAAAAGATTAAATAATATATCCTTTGTTAAATTAAACCTTAAAATAAGATATGAAACAATTTATGTGCTCTTACTGCCTAAAACCAGGTTTAAAACTTTGATAATACTGGTAATAATGAGAACAAAGTTAGCTAATAAAAGCAAGATACTTCTTTTCAAATACCCCACCCTTCTAAAGTTATGAGTAAAGGTGACTAATCTGAAAATTGGAATAGAAATGCATTTTTCTGGATATTGGCCAAAGAAATAGCTGAATGTCCTAGAAAAAAGATACAAGAGAGATTCAGACTTTGAAGTAGAGCTTCTTGGCCAAAATAAATATGGACTGAAACTGCAAGTATCATTTAATAAAATGACTAAAATCTATTTTAATGTATCTCATAATTACAACTGCAATAAGCATTTTAAAAATAAATTAAATTTGTATTCCTTTAGTACAATGGAACAAATGTTTAAAATAATTTCATAATTACTGTACAATGAATTCTTCAATATGTTGCATGCAATTTATTACTCATAATTTCATATAATTATTTTTTGAGAGAACAGCTATTTTTCTCAGATGATCCATAGTTTAGTCAAGTAACTGTCAGTATTATTTTGTCTAGAAACTTTCAGTAATACAGATAAAATTAAAATACCGATTTGTTGTTTTCCTAAAATTTTTATAGGCAAAGAAGATTGGAAAAAAGAAATTGTAAATGGTTCTCGAAGCTTCTTTGTCTTAAAGGGTTTAACACCAGGAACAGCATATAAAGTCCGGGTTGGTGCTGAGGGCCTGTCTGGTTTTAGGAGTGCAGAGGATGTGTTTGAGACAGGTCCAGGTGAGGCGCACTGTACCATAGTACATTTCTGTATCCTAGCCAGAAACGTGTTAGACCAACTGCTGGAATGCCAAACTGCTTCTAGCCAAGAGATGTTGCAGCTAGAATCTTTGCATGTTCCTTTTATAGAGCAATGTTAAATTATTTTATAAACGCCTAAATAATAATGCCAGTTTATTTATGTTTGAATTATGAATGTTTCCATCCTTTCAAATCGCTCTACTTGACTGATGTTTGTACTAGGGGCAAGATATGCCCTGCCCACGCTCCATCTGTGTGCTGTGCACTGAAGATGACCTATTTCTAATATTTGTAATTAGTATAATTTCAGGGCTGTATTTAAATAATGTTGCTTTTTATAGAGCTAAAATATTTGCATAATCAGAAAGTGCAGATTCAGTTTGATGTCTCATGTAATCTATTTATACCGGTGTTAAGACATTCCTACTTGTAAATCTCTCTTTTCCTGCCATATAAAAGTTTTATATGGATTTTGATGTCACACATACATCCTGGGAATCAGTAAGGCTGTTTAAGTTCCTTATGTTCATACTGCAGTCTTATTTCTTTGTAAGCAAATCAGCAATGCCTGCCAATTACACTCAGGAAAAAGATTCTATTGGAAGTTCTTTGATATTATGCTGAGTATTGTGTTGCCATCACATGCCATGCCATCATCATGTTCTTGGATAGCTGTTATTATTTTTGTCTTTGCTAGCCATTTCTGCTCATTCCAAGCATTTTAGCCAGTGCATAGTTGTACACCAGTAGCCTCACCAACTCCAGATTGTTATGTTGTAAGAAAGTAATTTAAATATGAAAATACACTTGAACATTATGTTATAACTATCAGGCAACAGCATTGGTAATGGGTATGCTGGTTTGAAAGTGAGCACTTTCTAAAATCATAATTTTTTGCTTTGATTTGTTCAATTTCTGTTCACAGTTTATCATGTTGCAGGAAGGTTTGAAAACATGGTGCTGAATAACAGTGAATAACAGACAAATATGTACAGGCTGAACACAAAGCCAGGAACAGCTAGTGGTACAAAAGCCTACCTGTGAAATGTTATACAAATACACATTCGAAGCATAAAGGAGCAGTAAATAAGGATCAAGACTGTAATATAATTCAAAACAAGCTGCATGGAAACCTTTCCAAAAGCATATTCCTGCATAAAAAGTACTGAGCCAGTAGATAAGGATTCCTATACTTACCCAGTCATGTTGACTCATGCCCTTGTGTAATTAAGGAAGAAGGGACTTTAGACACTGCTTTCTGCTTCTTGATAATGGAAAGTTTCAATGTTCAGCATGAAACTATAAACAGCCTATTTCTTACAGAAAAATCTTGTGTTACACTGTCTTCAACCTAGGTCAAAGCTTTTAAACACTGCAAAAAGTTGGAGTGGACAAAGAGGCAAACACTGGAATATGTCCTTATTAGGAATGAAACTTTGATATTTCAAATATGAGGCTTTTCCCACATTTTTTTCTTTGACAAGCATTCCTACAGAGCATCTTCACAATGTGCAGGTTTATCCTTTTGGGCATTCCAAAAGGATAAACCTGCACAGTGTTCTGTATTGACTCCTGCATTAGTGGTTCACCAAGATGCAAGGTTTTTCTGCCTGAATCAAATAATTTGCTTAGTGTAGGCAGGAAATGTGCCATTTTTAAAGAAGCACAGAGATTTAGAAACCCCTTTCCTACTGGGAAAGCTGTAAGTTAATACAGGAAGCTGCATAAGTAAGTTTTCATCTTCCCATCTATCTTGCATATTTTTATTCTTGAATTTTTGGCTTGATTCTATTTCTTACTACATTTGAATGTGAATTGTGCTTTTGCATTTTGTTACAGTATGTATTATACAACATCTAATGTCCTATTATGGGTGCAGATGCACAAAACTCAAAATAATTTTAACCTTAATATAAAAATAATTTTTCTTTTATTTGCACTTGTCGTTCAGAGGAAGATTGCTTTTGTGATTTTTTTTTAATTGCCACTTTTTAATATTTATATATATATATGTATTTATGCATATTTATATGTGGCATAAAGAGTAGAAGTATTTAGGTATATAAACTGTATATGACATGTAGAGACTTTGATGCAAAAACAGTTTAAATTCTTGTGCATATGAGAGTCACTTTCTAAAATATCAGAAAACATAAACAAGGACTGAGAAATCTGCTGATTGTATCTCCACAATAACCAGGCACATTAACTCACTGAATTATTTAAATGAAAATCAAGTCATAGCTTTGCCCAGTGAGACCAAAAATAAGCATTTGAAGAGAATTAATTTTAGCATAGTACTTCTAAAGTGGAAGACACTGGTCTTCTGTATGGAATGGACTGGAGATACTGTATCCAGACATTGGAAGTACTTTCTGCTTTCCATAGAATCCCTCAGGAATGTGGGACCATTGGCTGCTTTTCCAAGATACCTGTCTCACACTCCTTAACTAGAAAATGACACTGAGACATTGGCTTGAATTCTGTCAGTTGAGCAGCTCTTCACAGAGTTTCATACTCTTTGGTTTTGTGTCTAGAGAAGAAGCTGAAGAATGAATAAGATAGGTTGGATGGATGTTCATCTTCCTCCACTTCATATTTTTTTTGTTTGGAGCATGTATCCCTAACTTCTCTCACTCTTCCCACTTTCTCCCAGCAGCTAATCCTAAATCAAGTTGCCTGTAGTGTGTTCCCAGCAGTAGAGCAGAAAATAAGCTTCATCAGAATAATTCTCCTACTGTGTTGGAGACCACCGATCCAGACCCTAGACCACATAGTTAATTCCTGTTCTTATTAGTGCCTGTAATGTTTTCTTTGTAGTTTGCTTATTATTTACATTATCTTCCAGCTAGAGTCAGCATTTGGAGAGAAATAGTGCCAAGGGAAGGCTTCCCACCTCACTAATGACAAATCATGGCAATCATGATAAATTAATTGTAGAATGAGGTATGGGTTTGAGGAAAGAAAGAAAAAACCTGTTGCTTAATAAAGTTTTAAAGGATGCTTCATTGTTGATTTTTAGTTGAAATTTCATGTTAGGGCCCTTGAATGATCTGTCTGTCTCCCCATTTCAGAATGATGGAAATGCATTAGCTTATCAGTATTGGCTTTTCATTCATTTTGAGGATGCAATTGACATATTTGTGTGAACTATAATTGGCAACTTCATTTCAGGAGTTTAATTAATTCAAAATGGTTGAGAATAATTTTGAGGTTTGTGGAAAGCAGTGTAGTATGTGCGTAGATTTTGCAAAGTAGTTGCTAAGCTTAAATGTTAGCAGACTTTTTATATACTGAAAACTAACTTTTGTGCATAGGTACTTGGAAATATTCTGAATAATGGAAATATTCAGAAAATACAGAATCACTGTTTTTCTTAATGCTATCCATTTTTCACAGTGAATGTTATTCTTTAATGGACATTATATTGTCGATTATTTATCTGAATTTGTATAGCATTGAAATGCAGCAAAATGTAATTTTTCTTCTTCTATCCCCTAGCAATGGCAAGCGGCAGGTAGACATCGCTACTCAAGGATGGTTCATTGGTCTTATGTGTGCTGTTGCTCTTCTGATCTTGATTTTACTGATTGTGTGCTTCATAAGGAGGAATAAGGGTGGCAAGTATCCAGGTATGCTATTTAACCAGGGGAGTAAAATTTATCTGTTGGTAACCCACTAAGACAGCTCTCAGGCTTATCTGTTTAGGTGAAATTACATTTGCTGCTGCTTTACATTTACACTGTGTATATGGCAAATCAGTCTTATCATTCCATGGGCTTAGCAGGAGCCATCTGCCTGTTGGTGGGAAACCTACATCTATTTCAGCATAGGAGAAGGACGACTTTCTTCATTCCCAGAGAGTCCTATCAGTGCATGACCTCTCTAGAGAGGTTTGAGCTTTGCTTGGAACATCACCACTTGTGATGTTGAGTGCACGTTTCTTAAGTCCAGTGTAGGTGGACTGTAGTTTAATCCACTAACATGAGCTGAGTTAGAATTTATTTGGTCAGAAAGTCCAAATCATAGCTTCCGGTAACGTCAAAGTATGGGGAATGCATGTCACAGGGACAAATCTCTTCCTATGTTATATTGTTTCCAATACCCTGAGTTCTTCCCAGAATCTGTGTCATCTTCAGCCTCTGCAGTTTTGCAGCTAAGTTTAAAGCTACCATCCTTAAGTTAGGCTGGGGTTTTTTTTTCTATTTTTTTTTTTTCTAAGAAGAGTTGTAAAATAAATGGTTTTTTTTATAGTATGTCTAGGAGTGGCCAAGTATGTTTTATAATTTTTCATTAAAAATTGTAACTACACGATGTCTGCCTTCTATCAAAACATGCATCCCTCCTGGTGTTCATTACAAAAGGCATGTATGTGTATGTATGTATGTGGACATATAGGTATCATATATATCTTTCCCTAGTGTTATATTTCTTTCTATGGAGTAGCTCCATAGACCAAAGCTCTCTTGAAAAGGATAGTGAGAACCAGTTTGCACAGTACTGCCAGATAGTACTGCCAACAGAGCAGCTGCTGAGGTGTGAGTGACTATGAATGAACTTCAAGTGAGCACCCAGGGATAATCTGATTGTTCAGTCTCCTATTCTAGCTGCAATAGAAAGCACAGTTGCTAAGTTTCATGTGAAATCTTGATTTAATGAAAAAAATATTTTCTCCTAAGGTTTGTGAATAGATATCTAGACTCTAGAATGCTTATTTAAAGTCAGCTCAAACTTCTTGAAGTTCATACTGTTAATTTGGGCATGAAAAAGATGGATACATTTAGAAAAGTATAAAAGAAAAATCCACTTTGTTTTATTTTCTTCTGCTTATTTTGATCAGTGCACTTCTAAAAACTTAGTGTCAGGGAACACTAAGAACTTCAGCTCTTCATAGGGAAGTCTGCTGGAATAGAATAGCAGATGATTTTTATGAGAAAATCACGTTATTAAGTACTAGAATCCTGTTCTACCCAATCTAAATGTTAGATTGTTTTACAGAGAGAGCAAAGATTTGTAGTGACAGCAAAAATTAGGTAAGAGAATTTTCTGTTCCAGCTGCATATGCCTATGAAGAAAACAGATTATTAAGGAACACATAATGTTACAAAGAGTTTTATGACAGGCTGCAGATATCATCTTAGGGGGTTTTGCCTAATATTTGGATTTTTTTTAAAGAGAAAATGAGATAACAGAGGATATAGAAAAAGTGATCCAGGTGACTGAAACAAGTGAAGTGATGAAACTGAAAAGAGTAGGGAGGACATGGAGTGAACCACCCTCTAGAGGAGGGTAAAACAGATGTTTCGAATAAAAGTTTAGAGGGCAGTTGGATGCTAAGGTTGTCATTACTTTGTGGATCCTTGATATTGCTGCTTCTGCAGAATTATTAGTTGCAAGGTATACATGTTTTCGTGCACAGATACCTATGCATATACACACATGTATGTAACAGACCTGATTGTTTTTAAGATTCCCAGAATCAGTATGTACTGGTGTTTATAGCATTGACTTTGTATTTCTTGGGTCATTGCAAAGGTACTGTTCCACAGGTAGTGCCAAATTGAAAGCACTAAGTTACGAAATCTATGAAAATTTAAGTTATGAACTCTTTTTCATCATAATTTTTGCATGTCATCTTGAGGTTGCCTGTGGTTTGTAGGAAGTAATCCATTACTTCAGTATGAAATTATAGTAGCCTGATATGTCTCAAGGTGTTATGTGTTATTGCAATTATGGACTTAGTAAATACTGTCAGGAATGATTAATATCCTCTTAAATAATGGCCCACAAATCAGTGATGTACAAATAAAGTGTGGAAATTACCAGAGTAGAAGACAAGAGATTGTGTATTGGATTATATGACTGTATCTGCTAGACAAGGGAAAGATTTGAATAGATGCCAGAAAAACAGAAATGAAAAGGCAAAGGGAAGAACCATAAATAGAATTCTTACAGTCAGTATATTGTTTTATCCTATTAACAATGTTAACTTATAGGAATATGTGTCATCTGTGAATATCTGACTCCTCAGGTGCTAGTGGGTTTCTGTGTCAATGTGTACATTTATTATGTTATAGGGACAAGTTATATGCCTAGATTTATTCTCACCAGTGAACAAGGATTAAACCTAAAACTGGAATGTGCAAGAAATACATTTGTGTAAAATTTAGATTCCAGTGTATGTGACTTCGCAGTGGGTTTGATCACGTTGTAGAAAAGAAGAAACAAACCATGCCTAGTATTTTGAGAATTATTAATAATGGAAAAAAACTCTAAAATTCTCTGGAGGCTTACTACATGAAATTAAAGCAGAAAATGTACAAACTGACAGTGAACAAAAGTGAATCTGATTCAGTTTTATCAATCAGTATGAGAAGAATATCAAGAAGAAATAGAGAGCATTGTTAAGTAGAACTAAATAATTCAAATTTGATTAAGCAATAACTCTATTAATAGTCTCAGTAAATAAGTTATTTTAGTAGGATTTTTAACTATTTTCTCTCTTTAATGCTAGAAATAAAAGAAAGAAAAAGTTCTGCTAATACAAAATGACATACAGTCATACTTGAATGAAAATAAAATCCTATAATTAATTAACAGATCTTTTTCTTAAAAAAAAAAAAAAAAAAGGAATAGCCTAAGGCCCCATTTGAAAAGAGTTTTTATTCAAAAGACATTCCTGCCAAATGTGATCAGTTTGAGAAATTAAGGTCTTAGACTTTCTCATCTTGCAGTTTTCTGATAAAAATTACTATTTCAAATATTTTAGTGAAGGAAAAGGAGGATGCACATGCTGATCCAGAAATACAACCGATGAAGGAAGATGATGGAACGTTTGGTGAATACAGGTGAGCAGCTTATGTGATTTGTCATGTTCACTGTTCATGTCACACATGTACTGTATATAGTATGACACTTATTAATTTAAGACTAACTTTTTTTTCCATGTCAAAGATTTTGTATCCAGTGTTATTTAGAACTAAAAATAGCATTTCAACCACACCATTAGAAAAAAATTATCCAAGCTTAATATAAGCCATTTGCTAATGCAAGGTGAAAACCACATTCAAACACAATTGTATGTGTTCAAATGCCAGATGCAGTGTCCTTTCAGTTGGGGCACTGTGTTGAGCATTATAGGTTTTGAAAATAAATATCTAACTGAAGCCTAACAAAGACAATCTGGTGTTAATTTGACTGGAAAACAAATGCATTTAAAATACCTGCCAGTACTAACATCTAATCCAATAACAGAGGTGATGTTATACACAAAGGTGAAGGAGTGTCCAAAGTAGAAAGAAAGCAAATCTACCTTTCATGTATTTCAGTACAAGATATATGGCAAGCAGCTTCAAAGCATGCAGCACAGCTCTTAATTCCTGACACTCTTCCTTTATGCTACCCAAACCTGGCATTACCAAAAGCATGCCTTGGCAAGACTATTCATACAACAACTATGAATATAGCTTATTAAATAAGCAGTTTATTTTGTTTTTTATTTGTACAAAAATAATGTTATTATGTTGTAAATAGGTCAATACGATTATGTTTTATGTGGGTATGAAATAGATTTTTTAGTGCATTCTTGTGTCCAAAGCAGTGTAGAAGTTCTTTATTATTGCAAAGATTTGGCATTTACAAATGTACATAGAAAAAGCAGATTTTTTTCAAGAAGAATCTACTTTGTTGCCATAGCTGCTTCACAGAAGGAAAAGGTACATCTTGATCTGACAGGACTAGATGTACAGTTCTGAGTGCTAAGGAGCAGTTTCTGTTTACTCTTCTTTGATTAAAAACAATATACTCCATTTTTAGGTTAATGAGTTCAGAGTAGTATTTTATTACATCTGTAAGTGCATATAAGTTACCTAAATTCACCTGATAAAAAGGGAAGTATGAAGCACTCTTTGGAATAGAGTTTAAAAAGTACTATATAAGTTTTCCTGGGAAGCCTAGTTTGCATACTCCTTCATTGCTCTACTGGTTCTTGATACTTGGAACTTCCAGCAGCAGAAACTGACCTTTGTACAGAATTGTAAAAATTATATGACCTCAATGCATGTTTTCTCAGGCCTGGAATAAGTATTCAAGCCTGCTTTCATGTGCAACCTGTAGCAAGATTTGAATTTACATCTCCATATTTAAGTGGCTTGAGTTGATCTAAAGAATGATCTAGAACTTTATTAAATTATTTTATAATGCATTTATTCACTCATGTCTAGTGAATATGGGCAGATGCATGCCAAGCTTTCACACTTATTCACATGGGAGAGTTCATTCTATGTACCCTGCAAAAACTCCTTTATAAAATGTATTTCTGTGTAATTAGTCTATATTGGGCTTTCCTCTTTTTTCCTTAGAGACAGGGCAGGAGCAGCAACCAGTCAGATTACAGAAGATACCTTGTCATCCTCTCTGCAGCCCAGCATCACTGCAGTCACTCAGTTCCCAGTTTGTCTGCCTCACATGATGCGGTGCTTCTTTGAGGAAAAAGGGTATAGGGTTTCCCTTGGAAAAAAAATGTAATTTTTGAAAGATCTAGGAATTCGAGTATTTTGAACTTTTTTCATCACTTCAGGTCCATGTCTGCTTGGACAGGAAAGAAACTGGACAAGGAAAAGAAAACAAAAGGTAGCTGTGCCAATTCTCCTGAAGCAAACCCTGTCTTTACCAAAGCAAAGTCTGTGAGATCTGACAGATCCAACTTCTTCAGAAGGTCAGGGGATCAATACCCCAGCACCAGATCAGAGACCTCCTACACCAGGAGGAGGGCTAGGCAGTCTTCAGAGCTTACAAGGGTTAGTTCTGTCTCTGCTTCCCTCTGCCGAGAGGAAAAGAGATCAGACGGATGGAAGTACAGGCATGGCTCTAGACATCATGCTTCTGAGCAACACATAATGGGGTCGGAGGAGGGCTCAGATTCTCAGGCAGGACAGCCATCCCCTTTCCAGCAACCCCTCAGCTGCAACTCAATTGGTGGCTTACTGGGAAGGCAGCATTCTTCTCTCCAGCACTGGTCCAGCCAGACCCCAGACTGCAGCTCAGATTCAGAAGACACTCAGAGCTCCTGCCACAGGAAGGTAAGACCTTCTACTGCTACTCACTTCTCCGAATCTGAAAAGAATTCACTAATGAAATCTGTAATCTTGCCTGAGCTGGCCACTGTCTTAAAGGATGCTTTGACAGCAGCCAGACAAAGCATAACATCTGTGGCACAGGCTAGGTCCCATTCAGTAAAGCATCCCAGGGTACCAATTGCAGAAGTTCCACTGGTTCCTTTAGAAGCATCTGGGAGCAGTTCCCAGACTTCTGAGTTTGATCATATGGACAGTGTAAAAGATCAAACAACTTCTGGGAAGGAGAAACCTGAGACTGACAAGGCCTTGGAGGTTGAATCAGCCCCTGAAGACGGGGAGGTGACATCTGAGTCCCGTACAGAAGATCCAGAAGGACCAGATCCTCTGCGTAAATTTGACATGGAGAATCAGAATTACCTTTTTGAACACATAAAGAAGGTGCTAATGCTAAAATCTTCCAAATCTGAATGTGCCTCTGAAGAAGGCAAGGTAGATAATGCACTTCCTATCCATTCAGCTGTGGAAGATCTTGTCTGCAGGATTTGGGGAAATCCTGAAGCCAAGCATGAAGCCCCACCAGTCCTACATGAGCTCTATCCTTTTCCAGTGGATAAAGCTGCTTTGTGGGGGACCTTGCCTGAGGTAGACAGAGCATTGGTTACTGGTAATTGTACACCTGATAATACAGATGCTCTCCCTAAGGATCCTACTGACAGAAAGATTGAGGAAGCAATTAAAAGATCTTTCAAGCTAGTTGCAGCCCAGCTTGGAGTATCTATCTACTGCACTTATGCTTCTAAAGCTTTGCTAATGTGGTTAGAGGAAGAACAAGCTAGATTCAAAAAGAAGTGGGTCCCATCTGGTGCCATGCAGAGAAAACGCAGGCTGTGTAAAATTGCAGCTAATTTTATCCACGATGCAGCTGAGGATTCTCTTAGACTCACTGTTAAAAATGTGGCATGCCTCACTGTAGCCTGGAGAGCTCTCTGGCTGCGTCCTTGGAGCCCATCACTAGATCTGAAATGTAAACTGCTGTCTTTACCATACACAGGGGGCAAGCTGTTTGGTGAATCCTTAGTCCAGATCATGCAGGATGTCTCAGAACACGGGCACTCCTTACGTCAGAAGAAAAAAAAGAGCTCTGTTGGAAGCTCTTCCTGTTCTCCTCACAAGTGTCTGAGCTCCTTGCGTTCTCCTCCAAAGTTCAAAGGAGGGAAGGGAAAGTATAAGGTCTCACAGTCGTTTCATGCCAAGTACGAAAAAACATCTCACTTTCAAAGAGATATCAGACCATCAAGAGGAACTTTCTAAGAACATAGACTTGATTCCTAGTTTCACAGGAACTGAGAAGAGTGAAAGACATGGAAATCTTTCAATATTTCAATAAACCCGGTGCTTAGAAAATTAGTTGTTTCCAAGTAAGATTTAAATTATGAAGTTACTTAAATCTTAATGACTAATTAAGATATTCTAGATAAATCATAGCTCTCAAATCCCTTCTGTTTAGGGGAGGATTTTTTGCATTCGATTTCTAGTCTTTCTAGTGGTCTTAGGATGGTTTGGATTTGTTTGAAGTTTTGCACTCCTCAGTTTCAACTGAGAGAATACTTTCTGTGTGAGAGTTGGCTGGTCTGTAGGACCAGACAACATCAGATTTTTCTGCCATATTGATCTAATGAAGGAAATAATGCTTTAGGAAATGCAGGTGTTTTGGGAACTAAGGAATGACTATGGCTGCTATATTCCTGTGACTGGATGGATTCCTTCATTTTTAAATAATAAGGGAAAACAGTGCCTCTGTAGCAATCTGCTCTGCACTCTCAGTGGTTTTCTGAGTTGTAGAAGACTGAGACAGTAAATTGTGGACAGTCATTTTCTACATCAAGAACCTGCAAGAAACAGAAGAAGTACCACAGATGTGTGTTGAGATCAGCGTACATGTAAATAAGCCTAAATTTTCCTTCTGGTCCATAAATGGAGAGAAATTAAGAAGTTATGACAGCTACAGACCCATGAGTTCATGGGTAGGAAGACTGGAAGCAAGCAATTACAAGGGAAGGTTGAAAGTCCAGTGGTCTGCAGAATGTTCTTAGGAAGATGAAACAGGACAAGGCAAATACAGTAGTGGAATTGCTGCTGTGGTAACTCAGGATATTTGCACATTTTGGTGAATTATTTTGCCGCTTTTCTTCAATATTTTGACACACAGTGTTTTTCCTAGAAATTCTAGGATATGCTGTGAGACACTGTGGCAGAGAGTTCTGGATTGCTAGATAATACATTACTCTTCCTTCTTTTTCTGAGTTGATTAACAATTAAAATAAAATTTGTAACTACAAGTGTAGGGTTTTTCTCTTGTAGTTACTTAACTTGCAGCTTAGGTGTGTTTCCATAAGGGACCTAGCCATGATTTGTGCCTCAGGACTGTAGTTCTAAACTTGGTCCCTTCCAGGGCAAGAGATTATCTCAGTGGAGATTATCTGAAGAGCTGAACAGTCCAACTGGATTTGGTAGTGGTCTTACTGTGTTCTAATTTACGCACATGTACTTTCTTTGACAATTCTTTTTTTAATTCTTGAATACTTGTGTGATTAACAACTTTTTCAGCACATTGCTTTTTAAAGCCAGAGCTTCATCACCCAGTTTTTCCAGCTTCTGCCAGGATTGAAGATTGAGTATTACAGAGATGTTAATGAAAAACTACTCAGAAGACTGATATAGTTGTGCTTAAATAAGAAATAGTAAAATGGTTTGAAGTCTAGATTGACTGTAATAATATTAGGACTCACAGTCCTAATAATTTAGGAGTGTCAGCGGAAACCTCTTAGGTGTAGGGACAGATTCTCCTGGAGTATGCAGGGAAGCCATAGAGGAAGGTATTTCTGTGGCTTTACCTGATAGCTTTTATTTAAAGATTTCTGGGCTATTGACCTGAGGTCACAGAAAAAGGAATTACTGCCAACCGTTTTCATCTTCTGCATCCACTTTCTGTGTCTCATAGCCCAGAATGTTTTACCCACTTTGTTTCTTGTTGCCTTTCACCTGACAGTTGTGCTGTAAGGAAAAGAAGTATATTGCTAACCATATATTGAGTCTTTTTGCATGTCTATGAATGTGGCAAAGTTTAGTTGGGAACTAGTTGCCTGCTGGACTGCAGAGGCATCGTAAAAGTGTCTTCCCCATTCTGACTGGTTGCTGCATGTACCCATATCTAAGGAAGAAAAATTGAAAAGTTGAAAGAAGAAAGGAGATTTCAAGGTACATATTTCTTTCAATAACTGATAAGCTTGTGAAATGGAATTACTTTTTTTAAACAAATAAATTTGTACTTTGCACTTATGCTATTGTTACCTTCATACTTCTTATATCTCTTGATAATTAACTTCAAGTTTGATATGTGTTTCATTAAACTAAGAAGAGAAACATATTAATATAATAGCAATCATTAATGATTAATATTTAAATGATGCTTTTAGAGTATGCTTTAATAGTAGACACTTTTCTTACTGAAGTGTATGTGCTACATATAAGTACTTATCAAAATGAAAGCTACATATGAGTCTTCTTTGAGAAATTTTCATCCCTAAAAAGCTACTAGTATGGAATTTATTTTTACAGCAAAAAATAGTAAAAGTATGGCTACACTTAATTTCCATGGCTCTAAATAAAGCATTCATACCCATTCTTACCTCATGTTTGGTTCCCTTCCAGTATTGTTTTCTGACTATTAATTATATGCACTGCATAAATCACACTTTAAAAAAGCTTCTTCCATTTGCCACTGTAATTTTAGTCAACACAATTTGCACTTTTATTTTTTAATATCACAATATTACACTAGGTACATAATAAAAGTCAGCAAGCAAAACCACAAACAGAAACAGAAAGAAACTATGATTTATCCTGATTGCATTTTGGAATAGTTTTATGAACAGGTGTAAGCAAGGTTGGCAAACCTTGTGGGTACAAAATTTATGGCTTTACCATGTTTTGGCAATATAATACTATAAAAATTCTACAGCCTGAAGTGTTCTATAGCTCTTGCTAATATAATTCAGCAGCTTTTGCAGTTTGCTTCTTGGCAACAAACAGATATTACATTCATTTTGCCAGACCACCAGAACCCCTCCTCTTTTTTGAATCCCCAGGGTAGCAAAAGTGTTGTCCAAAACATTGGTGTGTTCACTTTTTTCTCCTTCTATTTGTTTGGTTTTTTCATCTTTCCTTCTCAATTTCTTTCTCTTCCACACAAAACACTGTGTTCACCTAAGAGTCATAATCCAGTTTGATACAGAAAAAATGGTACCATGGCATATGTTATCTGTTCTGAAGTGTTCCAGGAGTGTTGGATAATCCCACTTGTTTTTCCACTGCTAGAGTCGTGGCAGAACCTCTCTCTAGACCTATGTAGTGCAACAAGTGAAGGAATCCCCGGGTTCAGATTTGATTTTTGCATTTGCTGTGACTGTGCTCTCACACCAGTGCTCACCTCCATGCGCATACACTCCTGGGTAAATCTGCAGTTGTTTTTGCTTTTAATTATAGAGATTGTAGAATTCACATCCTGACTAAAATATAGAAAAATCTTATACTCAGTGCAACCAACTGTGTAAGTATTTCTTCATTGTTTGTCTTATGCATAAACTTCATTTCCAGAAATATAAATAAGGAAACCGGAAGAGCAACACAAAGCAGAAGTTCTCATCCTCAGATTTTTCTAAATTGTAATGGCAAATCAAGCTTTTCATTGGATTAAACACAAAAATGTTGTTGTATTTATACATTAGCGGCATATTGTTTATATATTTATATTCTAACCTAGTGAATTACATTGGCTAGGGTCATACTTCAGAATATTTGTGCAGAGATTCATGACCAATCAGAATATGATACAATTGCAATTTTAATTTCTTTTAATGTCTGTGTATTATGGTGTAAAGAATTATGAAGTTATTCACCTGAAGTTAAATAGTAAACCATATAGCAGTGCTCTTTCTTTAACAGTTTAACCCAGAAAGCAGATCTTCCCTGGGAGTAGGACTGGTTACAATTTCAAAAGAAGGGCCTGGCCTTCATTTGATTCGTGCAGCCTGTTTTAATGACTCTTAATGCCTTCTGATGGGGGCGTTGGAGAAACTGCATATTGTATGAGTATTAAATACTTGATTCCATCTTCAACCTTTTAAATATGGGGTCCTTCCAAAATGAACTCTCTTCAATAATGTCTCTGTGATCTGCTTGTGTTCACAGTGTTACAAACATTTTCACTCTGCTGCTGGATTCTTGAAGTTTTGGAATACAGTCTTTTAAACATTACTGGCCTGTATGTTTGCAGCACTAGTGAGCAAAGATCAATGACATTTATCCTTGTGCCTTGTACACCACAATAAGTAAAACATCAAAGCTGATACAGTCACATTTGGAGGTTTTGCTTTTGTGTGCTTTGAGCATGAGGATTTTCTTACTTGTAAATAAGAGAGATATTCCTACCACTTTTTTTCTGCTGTATATGCAGAATGATAAAATTTCTCATGTGGTTTTTCTGTAAGTATATGCATATTAGAGTTGGCCTTCTTTTAGAATTTAATAACTTAGTGTTTTCCAAAACAAACAAACAATAAAAAAAAAAAGGTGATGAGGAGAAATGGCTTGGTGGAAAATGGGTATAATGGTTTTCTAGCAACAGTTTCTCAAGAGGGCTTTTGTTGGCTAACTATATGATCTGATGTGGCCTTGTACATCCTATGTTTTATATATATATATATATATGTTTTCTCTGGGTGCTTAAAAGTATTAATTAGAAAAAAATTGCATTATTTTATAAGATATTAGGTTTTAGGAATTAGAGAGTTAAAATAATTTGCTGAGTATATATTCAGCCTAGTGTTCTAGAAATTGCAAAATGTAATTTTGTTTCTTTAATATTTTGTATTTATTTCTTTCTATTTCTCATAAACTGTGAATCTAAATAAAAACCCCAAACCACTTCCTTTTTTTTTTGTACCCTATATGCAAATCAAGTCATATGTTCTGTTTAAGACAAGGTAAATAATTGCACCCAAAAGTGCAGCTGGAAATAGTGGGTTTCAATTCAAAATGCTTTGGAGCTGCTGCTGAAATCCTCATCTTGACACTGAAGTGCAATGTAAAGGATTCTGAAAAGAGCCCAACTATATCTATTTCATGAAATAAAAGCCTACCACAGCAGCCAATTTATTTGAGGATGTTGATGGTGCTGCAGCTTTTCCACTGACAAAGGAAAGACCACAATACTTTGCTACAGAGATCTCCTCTATTGGCCTTTCTTTCCTTTCCTTTTTGTGTTGTCCTCCAAATCACCATCATCATTGTCAGAACATTATCAGCCATAGAGTAGGGTAGGGAGATGGATCTGATAAGAAATGAGAAAGACTAAGCATGCTCTCAACTCCTCAATTCTAGCTACTGTAAGCTAAATTGTTGCTTTACCTGTTAATATTGTAGAAATTTTAAGAGCAACTTATTATTGATACAATACTGATCACTATCAGGATATGGACTTTGCTTTTCTTCTTAGGCTATTTTCATTTGTTTCTTCTGCACCCTTTTAATGGAATATGTAGGTCTCTTGAAAGGTAAGGTTGAAAATTGCAAGTCTGGCCTGCATTATGTAACAAATTATTTGAAATGCAGCACTTTTATTTTCTTTATACTAGTAAAGAAAATCAGTATATTTCATTTAACCGAATTCATTCTTCATTCATTTTCAAGGAGTCAAAGAAATTAAGAAGTTTAACAGACTAACTTCACGGCACATCATAAGCTTGTTACTTTGGAGAACAAACAAATTATTTTTTTATAGCTTTACAACCTACTTCTTAATGCTTGCAGTTGCATCTACATGGCCTCCAAGCCAAGGGCCCAGGTCTTATCACTGAAAAGCCATGCACGATGGGGGAAAAAAAAAAAAAGAAACCACAACTCCCCCTCCCTCCACTGAAGACATTCTCTGTTTAAACCATTCTTACACCATGTTTTCATATGAACTACATCATATTGATTTGTCTCTACAATGTGATGTGGGTTTACTAAAGGATTATAGGGCTGCACACATGCTTTTCATAAACTCTGCATGCATGGCTGATCTTTTCTTAATAAACAATACATCCGTTAATCCCATGTTTGTTTGTTTGTGTCTCCAGCGATGCAGAGGACCATAAACCTCTAAAAAAAGGAAGCCGGACACCTTCAGACAGAACTGTGAAAAAAGAAGACAGTGATGATAGTTTAGTTGACTATGGAGAAGGTGTAAATGGTCAGTTCAATGAGGATGGCTCCTTTATTGGACAATATAGTGGTAAAAAAGAGAAAGAACCTGCAGAAGGAAATGAAAGCTCTGAGGCTCCTTCTCCTGTAAATGCCATGAATTCATTTGTGTAACCACAGAACTTGATCCCCTTGTATCTCCAGTTTGCTTAAAGCACTTGTACATCCTCCTTCTCATACTATGAGCACGCAAGTAATGGAGCTCCTCACCATCAGATGTTAATGCTATGAGAATATGCAGGTTAACACCAGTACACAGCATAATGACACAGTAAGTGGTATGTTACTATGAATCAAAATAGAAAATTCAAATTTTGTTCAAAACTTGGGTATTTATACTTTTTTTTAAAGGAACTGACACAAACGGTAACATCAGCTTGTAATTTTGTTTCCTGTTGAAAATACAGTATAATGCATGGAAAAAAAACCCCCTACACAACTCACAGGTAATCTTGTGTACACTATAAAGACATGGTTTGACAATTTGTTATGCAGTCCTCAGCTGAATCCCTGGATATGAATTCCGTTCTCAATGTCAGAGTGTTATAGTAGTATTATATAGAACTTCAATGTCTTTGTGGACATTGTTGTGAAATTGGTGACTTAATGTCTAGCTATCATGTCTTTTTGCAAGACAGTTAGGAACAGTATGTACAGTATATAAATGCTAAATGATTTAAGTATGACACTTGCATTTGCTGATGCTTAATGAGACCCTATTATCTGCTCTTTGCTCCTATTACTTTATAGCCTTTTTAATCTATCAAGTATTACAGCAGTACAGTGTTCTATTTTTACATCAAAACATATTGAATTGATTTTAGGGCATAAAAGATATGCATTGCAATGCATTTTGGAATTTGTACAGTCACTGAAAGAAAAACTTTAAAAATTAAGGAAAATATTCCAGAAAACACAGGGCAACGTACATTCAGTGCCTTCATACAATATGCATTCCGTAATGTGCTGTACTACTAAATCAGTTGGTGCAGTAAACTGTGATTAGCAGACTGTCATTGCCAAATAAAGGAAAAATGTGAAGAAAAAGAAGTGTTATGAAACTGTTGTGCTAAAAGTGGAAAGTTTAAAATATTTTAAATTACATAAAGAAGAGTATGATTTTTTTCCCTTTAAAAAAAGCTTCATACGCAGTTACAGCACAACATGTTTTCATGGCCTTAGAATACTTAAAAATGAAAACAAACAAACAAAAAAAAATCCCAAAACACAACCAGAGTTAAATTATTTACTAACACAGCAAGGTGTAAGCTCTTGTAAAATAAATCATTAAAAACCAAACCAGCTGACTCCATCGGTGAGAGCGCATTTCTCTCTGTGTTCCAGCCTGATCAGTGTGGCAGCTTTGTAATTATCTCCAGCCTGAAGCAGTGTGGGGGTTACCACTAAGAACCACAGCATTCCATCTGACAAGTGCTAATACGGTTTTTTGGTAAAGGATTACCCTTATCGGTTACAAAATTATTTTCTCGCATACTAAATCAAATGTTTACCTCCAAATATAAATTCTTATAACAACCTATGGTTGAAGGAATGCTCAGTTTCATTTGCCAATAAATTGGTTTTTCATAACTTGCATCAAGTTTAATTTTAAGTAAGCTTTTTATATGTAGATATTTTGTTGAATTTGTAAATACACTTAAAGCGTAGATGCTATATGCTTCTAGGTGTTCCAGACAAATAAACCAAGAAAGCTCATGTTGTACTGTGTAAGAAGATCTATAGCCAATGGTGTGCATGGTATTTTAAAGCATCTACTTAATTTTTCTTTTCTTTTTTTTTTTTTTTTTTTTTTTTTTTTTTTTTGCTGTGAAAATAAAATAGCGATCTGCTCATTTACTGCAGATCTGCAGATTCCAGCTGAACCATTCAGAGCTTTTGCCAGTGCACTACATTAGCCCATAGGACACCTTGCAGCTTCCATGTATATATTGTAGGTAAAGCACAACTGAAGTAATCCCAAATGTAACCCAGCTGTAATAAGCTTCTTTCGCACCTTTGAGCTTTCCACTGGTCAGTTTTTTTAATGGGAACTCAAATACAAAATGAATTATATGAACACTGATTACAAAGCACAAAGAGAACATTTCTTCACAGGATTTGCCAATGGTTTTGGTAAAAAAAGAAATATCATTTTACTCTTATTTAATTGTAGATGCTGAATTATCTGTGCATGTGGGGGTAAACATACAGGCTCACTTCTGTAATAGTGCAACGGATTTTGTATTAAAAATAAATGTGGTTTTAAAATTTCACTGTTTGTTCTGTTTACACTAGCAGTAAAAATCACTTTAGATTAGTCCTGTAATTAAAAATTCAAAGCAGAAAAACAGCATGAAGGAGCTCTGACAGAAGTTGTTCCCATTACGGCCGCCAAATTATATACAGAAAGTTGCATACCTTCACATGCTACCATTTGAAAAAAATGGTAAATTTGTCTGACCATTTCCCATTGAAATCTGTGATTTGCATTTTACTTCCATGGATGTTTTTATTATTTATTTAGCCATATTACTGCAAAGAAAAGAACTGAAACAGTCGTGTTCCATACCTGTAAGTGTGAATAAGAGAAAGTAAGAATGTTGATTTGAAATTAAAAGCCCTCAGGTAGGATCCCAAATAAGGATTTTGCATCCTAAAGGAATTGTCTGACAAATTTATGGTTATCTGTTTTTAAATAGTGTATGAAATGAGGAATTTTTAGTCATCATCTTTTACAGTACACAAAGTCCATTGCAATGCTCTTTTCATATCTTGTCTATCCTATATATGAATGGAAACAGACTGGGAAGGAGGGCAGCTGTTCTGCATAGAAGACTGCAGGAGAGCCATGGATTCCAAGAAATGCAGGTGCTTCAGGAGATGTATCCAAAAGTTGATGTGTGGGCATGATGCTTGAAAGAGGGATCTTATCACTGAATCAGAAGCCATTCTGCCAGCCTTCCCATATGTAATTGGAAACTCCTGGATGTTTCAGCTCCTGACATCTGCACAGACTCAGTTCTGGCGCTTCTATCTTCAAATACCTTCACACTACCTTCAGATATCAGCTGTCTTGGTTTTTGTACAGGTATCTGTTGATTTTTGCAGCAATGTAAACTGTCTGGGAGATATGAAATACAGCTGTTTCTGTTTCAATTAAAGAATACTTCCTGAAAAGAGGAGTCTGAGTTCCCTAGGCTCCGTTGGAAAGAAGGATTTCATACAGTAACAATTTTTGGAAACACACATACATAATCTGTGCATGTTCCCCAAAGTGTACTAATACATATAGTTGCTACATTTTCCTTTTACTGATATACATTGCTTTTGATTTTATTCTCACTGAAGTGATTGTATAAATCCTGAGGGAATTAAAGAGGATACCCCAATGGTAATTTTTCTTGTAATCTATTCTCTCATTGTTCCTAGGAAAATACAATTTCCTCATGGTTCCACTTAGCAGAGGCAAAGTGGCAAAAGATTTGGGAGCCACATTCTCTTTTTATGATGTCTGGTCTATTTTAAAACAGAAGCCCTAGGAATTATATATGAAGAAATATTATCTACCATATAGAAATGTCTTATTTTCTGAAAAGAATGAACTGGGGAGAAAATCATCTACCTTAGGAAAGAACATTTCAGAGACTTGGCAGAAGCAGGAACTGGTTTTGTGGGAAGATGGAAATAACTGAATGTGCTACTTGTAGGAATCTACCCCCAAATGATGTCCCTAGAATGAAAGTAAATCCAACTGGCCATCATGTTTTAATCTCTGAAGTGATCTCTGGCTGCTCTTTGTACATGAGAAGTGGAAACTTTAGATCAAGCTGTCAAGATAAATACATGTCAGCAGGACTTTGACAGTAGATGTGATCTGTTGTGACTGTAAGCAAGGAGAAAAATGGTGATCCCAGTGTTCTCATGAATTTTGGCAGCAAAAATGTACACAACGTTCCTTACTGTGCTCACATGTAAATGAGCTGATTAAAAAAATTGTGATCATGTTTGATACCTGAAGGATGGATTCTTCATTTGGGGTTGGAGAAGTTTGTGCTGTTGTGTGAATTTGGCAGCACTGGCTTTGTCCCTCCGGGAAAGCCACACAGGATAAATGTGAAACCAGCTGGCAAGTAATAGGTTTGCACATGTTTAAATTGGAGAGAGGCAGAGCAGGAGACAGCTCCTGTCACCTGGACCCAGCCAGTCTTTTGACCTGCTTTGTCTTGCCCTAAGGTGCAAATAAAATACAGAAGTTTAGAAGGTAGTTTTCCCTACCAGCTGAAAAAAAACCCATGGCATCATGTCAGAAATATAAGCCAGTGCTTAGATTTAATTCTGCCTGGCTTTCTGTCCCATTTTGGATATAAGTGATGAAGAGAAACATACCTGGTCCATGCTGTACAAATATGGGTTTCAGACTTGAGCTTTTAAACAGGGAAAGTTTAGGTAATCCAGTTCTGGTGCCAAACTTATTTAAAATTACCAGGTCTTGCACTACATTGAGGAATGAACTACATTTACCTTTGACAGTGAACTGTACTTGATATGTATCTTCCAGAGGGTGCTGCTATATTTCCCATGTTTCCAAGACTTCAGAAAAGGGATGCTTTGTCTTTGAAGCCCAGTATCTTACCTGAGAGAGGATAGCAGCCCACTCCTCTGCCCTGTGTTTGCAAAGATCTAAAGGGCTTCAAGACTTCACAGGACTAAGGGAACAAATGGAGTTTTCTAAATAGCAGTGTTCAGGATATATTTCAAGTAGATGTTCTGCAATATATGTACTGTAGTGAAAGAGAATTATGGTCTTGCCGGCATGAAAAGTTTGCCTTCTGGTGTGGCAAGAAGAGGTAGTGAAAATGGAAATGTTGGGACAGAGAAAATGCAAGAACAAAAGTATAATATGTGAGGTTTCTTGGAAAGAGTTGAGAAGCAGCCAGTAGGATAGCTGGCCTGAGTGGTTAAAAGAGAAAAACAGACAAATGGCAGAGGCAGCAGGAGCCCTTGCTAGTGTGGAGCAGCACAGCCTGCTGGGTGCAGACCAGACTATCTGTTGGTGACAAACAGTGTAAAATAGATCAATAGGACATCATTCTCCTTTCAGATTTTTTAAATTATTATTTATTTTGTTATTTTTGCAAGAGACGTAGAAAGACTTAATCTTAAGACTTCTTTAAGACAATCTTAAAAATGTCTGTCAAACAGGTGAGAATTGCCAGAAGTTTGTAGGTTTGGCATAGGGGAAGTACTAACCAGCTGGACAATCAAACACACAAAGCAGTTGCTTTAATTTCCTTACTTTTTAAAGTATGCTAAAACTATCTCCTGGAAAGCACCCACTTTCTGCAGGTATAGGACAAGGCAATCTGAAGAGATACTTTTCTCTGTTCTTAGGAATTTGACTAGTGGTGTTCCAGTAATATGAGGAAAGTGGGCATTCTCCTAGATGTTGAGATAAGGAAGATAAAAGGGAGCCATACAAACTGTTTGATAGATGAAGAACCTACACAACGAGATCTCCAAACATGGAATACCAGAATTAATGTTTTTAAAGAGAGTGGGGGGAGGGGGGGGGGGAAGACAGCTAATTGCAACAGTTTCTGGACAAGTCAGAGGACAGATGAATGTAAAAGAATGCTGGCATGGACAGGAATAGTTTGATTTCCAGTAAGGAGAGGGAAAATGGCCTTTGCTAGACTGTGTGATGGCCTGTAGGCACAAATACTACATGAAAAGCACAAGAAAACTAGTTACCCTGCCTACAAGTGAATATTGTAGCTTTTATTTTCTAGCAGTACAAACCACAATTTTTTTGGTATAATTATATCACTTGAACAATTAGCCAATGAGAACTTCTGTTTAGCTGAGAATGTTTTGCCATTCTGTCCTTTTCACTACAGGTTCTTGGTTCCAAAGTTTTGCTTTAATAAGGAAACAGCCTGTGCTGTTCTACTACAATTAGATAATGACCACAAACTTTATCAAAAGGGAAACTCATGTATATTTTTTAAAAATAAGCTGATTTATCTTTTTTTATAATGAGAGGCAGACGAGTCTTCAATCACTAGCATTTAAGCAACAATTGGCCACTAGAGGGAAGTTACAATTGTTACAATGGTTAGCAGAAGCCCAAAGCATCTTAAGTTCACATTCCATATTAATGGATAAAAATGTGTGTGTGTATGAGTGTACCTATCTATAGATATAAAGGTACTATAAAATAGTGGTTAAAAAGAATAAGAGACAAGTTCATATTAATTTATGCTTGTTTTGCATAACATATTGTATCAGTTTATCTGTGCAACAGTGACCTTATTCTAATTCAATCGTTTGTTATCATGATTTTAAAATGCAGGGACATTTGGGGCAGAAGTGCTGTTTGAAAAGTAAACTGGCAAGAGCTATTGTTCTTGGTCTGAAATTGCTTGGTCTGGAATTCAGCAGATAGCCATGTCCCAAAGGCTTTTTTGAGGCAGAATCAGAAGCCAGATGAATGTCATATTAGGCTGTCAGTTCCCAGGTGTGTGTCTGTAGGTATGTGTGCCTGGCAGCTGTACAATAATAAAGATTTTTAAAACGCTCTTGACCTGGTTGGTGTGTAGCTAACTAGCTCAGCTTTTGCAAATGATGTGAAGCCTACACTGGCACAATGGGTTTGGAAAAGGCGCTGCCTGGTGCTGCTGAACCTGTGCAACTGGAGGGAACAGGTTCCCATGAGAAGCGCAGGAATGCAGCCTGGCCGGACAATCTGTAGGGCAGCGGGTCATCTCACTGAGGTACCATACTTGATCTGCTTTTGAATTTGTCGGGATTGCCCTTAATCTCTGTGTCGAAGAAAAGCTTAAGGTCTTGCCACAGGAGGATGGGAGCATCTCGTCAGGCAGCAGATTGCTCTCCGGCGGGAGCAGGGCCTGCTCCCCGCCCCCGGCTCCAACAGCCTTTAGGCCGCCCCTGTGAGAGCGTGTCCTGGTCGGTGACCAGCGTTAAGTGTTTTGATCAGGATGGATAACACACGGCACATTTTCAGTGTCGCAGCCCCAGGAGTCCTGCTGCTCTGAAATGAGATAAAGAAATGCTGAATTGATTCACGTTGTCAGACAGCATCATCTTCAGAGGGACTCTGCCTGCGGGAACCAGCTCAGCACGTCAGGGCCCATTCGGGTGAGGAGGACAGAAGCTCTGCCCTCTGGGACTGGCATCACAGCATCCTTGTGGTGGCAGTGAGGGGTGGAAGGGGGAGGCATCTGCAGGGTGTGCAGGGTGTGCGTGGCTTTGT